TGCTGCTCTAGAGTCCTGTAGATTTGATTCAGGTTCGTCTAGCTATATTTTTTCCAGACTTTGCTTAACTCCTGCTTCAGTCCGAACCAACATGCCAGTCCAAAAATCAGGAAATACAACACAGCACAGATATAGTTCTATATAACTTGTATTCATACACTATTTCCACCGCTGAAAGATTTTTATCTTAAATTTCTAAGAGGGAAAAAGTAATATATGAGAAAATGACTCACATGATGAATCTTCAGTGATTCCCCGTGACCACTGAGCTAATTCAGGGAATAAAGATTTATGGTTTCTGTAGCATGTTGCTATGTCCAGGATATGTTCAGTGATAGTTCATTTGAGTGGACTTCATGAATGTGTGCAGCAGCTTTTGTTGATAAGGAAGGAGATACCAGTGGTAGCCCATATTTGATGGTGTCCTCATGGGGAGTACTTTTTTTTTTTTAACTTGACCTGGTTAGGGATTAATGAAAAACTGAAGTTTTTTTTTTCTCTAGCAAAGGCAGTTATTTTTCAATTAGCAAAACTAATTTGAGTATTAATGCAGGAACTGTTGCTGTAAGAGTGTGTTTGAGCAGCTGGGGATGTTTGATCATTATCTGGCCAGAACCTAACACAGTGGTCTATATTGGTAAGATTTGTAGAGGGAAGTCTGTGGGGAGAGATTATTTTAGAGTTTAGAGCATGGCTGTATGTACCATTCTGATCCATAAGCTGCTGTAATTTGAGAGATTTCAGTGGGTGAGGGAGAAAAGGAGTTCTGTTTCTGTTTCCTGCCATGAACATATGATATGTATACTGATTTCCGGGAGTCTATTGTAACCTTGTCAGCATTATTTTCCTAGCTGAGTTGAAATTTCAGCATTGTTCCATCTTCTGGACGGTTCCCAAAACTGCTGACAAGTAATGTATTATTTCTAATGGAAGCGATGTAGTATAAGAGAAGCAAATAAGGAACCTTTAATAACAACAACAACAACACTTCTGATAAAGACCCATTGTGGAAAATTTAGAAAGTGGTGTTCAAGTATTTATTTTTTTGTAAAGACTGAAGTCTCAACCAACTTAATCAAACAGAGAACCTCTTTGAGGTTCTTATGTCATGTCTTTCATTACATCCTACCTGAAGGAGGGAATGGGAAGGCAGTATGTTCTACATGATTAAGTATTTTGGTTTGCCACTCTTATGAGAGCTGAGGGTAATACAACTAAATTTCCTTTTTCAGTAGCCATTAACTGTGAATGTGCAGTATGGTGAAAAACACATTGGTACGGGACTGAACAGTATCTGTCTGCTCTTAAAGAGTAGAGATAAAGTATTCTCTGTGTTGCAAGTGAATTTTGCACTTCAACTGATACTAGTTTGCCTTCTGTGTTCTTATTGATCTATGAATTCAATTCAAGGTTTCATAGGACCTGATAGAACAGCCCTGCTTTAGATTATCTTACAGGTTAACTTGATCAGCCTAAATTAATTAGATAGGAACAGAAACTTGCTAGTATGATATATCAACCTCTCAGAGAAATGTATGACATTCAGTGGTTAAAAGTTTGGTAAACTCATAATGCAAATAAGACAGTTTCTTGAGAGCAAACAAATGATTCAGCCTTGGGATTTTAGTAGGCATTAAAAGATGCTCAAGATAACTTTGTTATCAAGAAATAGCTTAAGTCAAACAAAAATTTAAGTAGCAAGATCTGAAAATCTGTCTTACGTGGGAGATTGGATTTGGTAATTGTGTTGCCCTTCATCTCACAGAGTTTTTCTAATACTTATGAACACATAGCTTTGACTAGTATATACTACCTTCCTGCAGTTTACATAACTGAAGTCTGTGTGTACATAAAGTTTGTGTTGTGTAAATACAGGCTGAAATCTGGGATTTATTCATTTAATTCTCTGAAATGTCATAAACTGGCTGCCAAATAAAGGCAGTTAGTTTTCTTTATGTCAGATGAACTACTACTGCTTTTTCTTACATGCATCTGAAGATAGATTTACATACAGGAATCCAGTCTCCTAGAAGTCCAAAGATCAAGGCTCACTTCACCAGCATCCTACATTGCAGAACACTGTCTCCCTCTGCTTCCATTAATGTTAAGTAGTGTATTTCTTCTTGAAGGTTTTTGAAACATAAACAAAATAGGACATAATCTTGCTGAGTTTGCATGCTGCAATTTTTTTTATTAGAGATAAGTCAGGTAACTAGTGTACTGCCTAGCCTGAAAGTAATCCCTAGTTAATGTAGGTGCAGGTGTGCCCAGCATAAATGGCAAATGGTTCTGCTTTGTATATGTTGTAATGGTGCCTCCTGACTTGCAAGCATTGGTTGTGTCCTGGGTCTGTCCCCTCCCAGCTCTTGCTGCAAGAAATTGATACACTGGTCATTGTTAACTCATTGATTGCAATCTATTAATTATGATGTTCTGTAATGTCTGTTAAAAGTTCAGGTTGCATCTCTTTTTTTCATTACTGTAGAGATTTGTAGTTAGATGCACACTGGGAATTTTGTGTTGCAGGGCTTGACTGAACACTATTGCAGCCCCATGTTAGGAGCACTTCAGTCTTCTGCCATACAGTGGGCCAGGAGACAAAAACGTGTATGTCTCTTGCCATTGCTTATTGTTAAGAGGAGATGGGGACAAATATGCCTTAAATACTACTTCTGTACAGATGTGTCTATTTAAGACTCAACTATAATGCCCTTCCTGAATTCGGGAGCCTGAAGCCAGCTTGGTCTTTTCACACTGGTGATTTGGTGATGAGACTGTGTACTCAGGAGACAGGATCTAAAATCAAACTGTCTGGTTAGGAATATAACCCAGATCACTCACATTAGCACCAATCCACTACTGTTTTACAATAGTGAATGTTTCTTATGTAAAAGCCTTTTCTGACTTTGTAAATTTTCTCTGGCACAGTGAATGGGAGAATGCTTGATCTTCCTGATATTGGGGGGGTGGGACTGCAAAAAGTGGGAAGGGTCTAAGTGAGCAGTTTTAAATGCTACAATTATGAACATTTAGCTTTTTATTAAAGAGGTGCTGTTCTGAACTATGTTCAGAACACTGTACAAGTGTGTATCTGTGCAAGGGAAGAAGTGGAGTACTTCCATGGGAGATAGGTGGCATGGTTTCAAATTTCCATTTTTAAATAAGGCAGAGGGGCATTATTTTTAAACTTGGTACTCCCACACTAATCACGGGCTCTTTGGTAAATACACACTTTCCCTCTCCTGGGTTTCTGTGCTAGTTCCTGTTCACAAGGTAAAGTAGAAAGAATAACACCTTCCAGGTTAGTGTCTAAACTTGAATTAAATACAAGGGTAGTCAGAAATTATGAAAGCTGCTGAAAGACTTGGTTAGCAAATTGAGTAAGGCTGGGCAGATGGTATTCTGAGGAATGGAAAATACTTTGTTATAATAAAGAACAAATGAAATGGGAAGACTCATGAGGTGAGTTTGAACTACTTTTATTGTCACAATCTATAGAATGCCACAACTGTTAGGCAGCATTTAATTCAGCTTCCAAATGGATATGAAGTTCTTAACTCTTGTGATCTCTCTAGAGGACTTGAAGTGGGAATGAATGTCAAGAACTAGATAAAAGATTGTTAAATGTAGCCAGATGTGAAGCTAAAGATATGCATAATCAGCTGATAGGTAATGTGCCTAAAGAAATTGTATGGAAAACTTGAACACAGACTAGGAAAGCACAAGGGTGAGTGTTAATGAGGGTAGGCCAAGGCCTCTGCTTCACATACACTGCTCTGCTTAGTGAGCTGACAATCTTGTGAGCTCTCTTATTGTTAGTAGTATGAGTAAGACCAGTTCCCCACGGTTTAAATAAGTCTACAGTTCCTAGCAGTTTGGTCTCTTTAGCATACTGTTCTAGTCCACGTATGAGCTCTATGACATAGCTTGTAATGCAGGCTAGGAAATATAAGCTAGTGATGAGACCTCGAAATCCTGCCTGAGCTCGAGGGGTGTGTGGGGGAGGGGCATGTGCACACGCATGCATATAGATATAGACATATATGCATAAGAGGGGCACAGTTGTTGAAAAGTTTTTTTTTTAAAAAAAAGTTAAAAATGGGTTCTATAGTTATCAGAGCATGCTGTTATGTCTGTGTTCCTGAAAGTTTTTTTTTTTTTTTTTAAAAAAAAAAAAGATCTTTAATAGCTGTTTTGGTATGGGTATAGGTATATAGTCTCTGTTTCCAGCAATGTACAATGCTTTATAGCCCAACGATGCTATGTGCTGGGTTTACAGCTCATTTCCTTTCAAACTCAGTGTAACTTCCCAAAGGAATGTCTGAGAGGCAGGTTAAGACTCTCCATAATTAGGAGTCTAGAAAGCACACTGAACACAGACAGCTGTGCTGACTGACTGCCTAGAGGACACGCAAAACACATGGAGAGGGGAAAAAGATAAAAGGCAGGGTAGTAGGGTCTTGCATGTGTAGAACTACAGCAGGTTTTGAGGCACTTTTTCACAGTGTTTATCGTATGGAAAAGAAACAGGATCATGTAATTATGCAATGTGGGTAGGGAGGGACCAGTTCATCGACGTGGTTCTAATTTAGCAAATTATTTCAGCAACCCCTCTCTATTAAAATAGAGATTTTATTTTCCTCCTGGTCTTTAGCTCAGGGGAGAGCATTAAGCTTTAGCATACTGTATAAAACCAGTAACTGTTAATCCACAGTGTGTTTATAGCAGTGTATGACACCTTCACATTTTCGAAGTACCCCAGGTTCCTTTCTGTGGTGACAATATGGCCTTCTGAAACTCAAGACAGACATGACATTTTCCATTAGTGACAGAGTCATTAACATGATTGTTTTTAACACTCCAGGAGGTTGTTCTAATATATGAAATTTATTCCCCACTATTAAAAATATGACATGAACGATTAATAAACTTTACCATCTGCTTTCAGCTAAGTTTACCCACCAACCCAAATGCAGCATTTTCAGTCTTTGAAACACATGAGAAATTTAATTGCATCCTTTTTATTTCAAATGCAGGAAAATTCCCTGAGTAAGCAGAGTTTTAATTAAATAAATGTGTCCAGAACTTAAAATAAACCTGTGGAACAAGTTCACAGAGCTGACAGTGCTCTAGAGATGGCAGTTTCTTTGGCCCAGGGAAGCGAAGGCCTTTCAGAAGCTCTTTTATTATTCATTTCCAATGCTTCACGATGCGGTGTCATCAGCCTCCTTCAGTACAGCTGTCTCCCCAAAATCCACATCTCTCTGACTGATCTCTGGGTTCTGAATTCCTGTTTGACTGCTCTGCCACAAAAGGGATTTCTCATACTTGGTCTTAAAAAGCAACCCGTGACCTGAAGAAGGAAGGATGAGTAGAAGAATGAAAAAGAAGGGGAAAAAAAAAAAGGACACTGAAATAAACACACTGGAAAACAGAACAACTCTTTCCCTGTAGCTAGAAAAAATGGGTCCTAATGGTCTGGTCTGGAAAGAACAGATGCCCAGGTCTTGGAAGAACTACCGCACACACTAGGAAGAGCATATGCTTAATTGTACTCTATATGTTTTTAGCTAGCTATGGATGTAGAATTTAACACTTTTTCCCTCCTCCCTCCCCTTCTCTCCCCCCACTTAGAATAACAACTATACTATATACAGAGATGAGACATTTGCTCAGTGATGTCTAAGGACAAAATTGATAGGAACAGCTGCACTTACCAGGACAGTCTGCTGTTTCTTTGAATGCTCTTTTCTTACAGCAGCCACGGCACATGTTAAACACACATTTATTGCCCTGGGTGAGGTGGTGGTGTAAAGAAGCTTGTATCAGTTTATTAGTAAGAATAAATTAATTATTTAACCATAATAAGCAACAACAATACAGCTCTGTACATTCAAACCTTTGGAAAACAGCTGGACTCATACACTAGCCAGTCACACCTCTGTCTAATGAAGATGACAGAGCTGATGTCACAGAGAGTGAGGAGGATGGTGACATAGCTATTAGTGATAGCTTATGCAGAGAAACAAAAATAATAAAAAAATAAATAAATCCACTGTCCACTTCTGCAACAGCACTAAGCTGTTGGGCAGTGCAAATTACATACCATAAGCAGGCAAATGTCATAAGCACTTTGGAACAAGAGTTATGATACTTGTTACAGTTGAGCTTGCTATATTTCTCTAGAAAAGTACTATGTGAAACAAGGTGCCTGACAGATGCTTGGTACCATCTGCAACTGTGCCTAAAATACGTAAATGTTACTACATCAATTACTTCCCTTTTTTTCAGACTAAATACACTAAAGTATATATTAAAATATAAGGTATGACCCTTCTTCAGGGGAGGGCAGTCACTCAGCTGGATATTTTACAGCTTGGCAAAACCAGACTAGGTGTCTCGAATGCTTTGGCTTACACATGCTTAAAGTAATTTTTTCCCCCCCACCAATTACTTTTTTTTTTTAAAAACCGTCTCTCTGGCCATTACATGACAGAGCTTAGAAACTTAGCAGCTAGGAAAAAAAAATACAGACCAATTCTAAAGACTTGAAGGGCAGCCTGCAACATTACAATGACGGAAAGGCAAAACAAAAATGAGTCCAAGCCCCATTTCAAACGATCACGGTTGAAGCACCAAGCTGTGTTAACTGGCCAGCTTCATGGAAGCTGGAAGTGCTTTAACAGACACTGGCACTGACTTACCTTAGGGTTCCCACATTGATCACATTTTGCGTATTTGGCTGCAAAAGACAGAGACCTGATTTTAGGAATAGTGTTTTCATATGGAAAGAGTAAATTCAAAAATTCAGGATCATACAAAGCTTGGTGCCTCTCTCTCCAGCCAGAGGGGGACTCTTTGAGATAGAAATACAGCACTTCAAAGAATTGTGCAAAGAAGGTAAAAGATACATTGACTTTCACAGTGTGTCTAAGCTATATACATAACAGCTATAAACATAAAAGTTTTAAATCTCAGGTCTAGTGCAAAAGAGGAGGAAAATTGCTTGAAATGCATATGCAATTTCAATTTCAAATACTAGCAACTGATAAAATTTAATTTGTAAAGCATTTGGAGCTTAAAAAGTTGCTTGTAGTGGACATCCACCTACTTCTTTGATGATTAGATATCTTTCCTAATGAACACAATTTGAATAAATGTTGCCTAGTACCAAAGTTTTCCTATAATGCTCCGTCTTTAAAAAGAAGATTCTACAACTACATAGACAAGAAGAAAATAGTAGCAACTTATGTTAAAGCTAATACCAGCAACTTCCCATGTATACATGTATATGCCAATAGATGGAACTTACGTTTTAAAGATGGATCAAAGCTTTTATTTGGATTTCTTAACTTCTTTTTTTGCTTATTCTTTGATAGAAGCTCAGAATTTCCATCTTCATCCTCTTCCAGAGCACGTTTCCCTCGCACACCTTTTTCAGTCCCCCTGGTTCCATTCTCCTTGCATCTCTCCTTTGGCCTGAAATGGTGTACATCATTATAAGTTGGCTGAAGGGAAGATGTTCCCTACAATGAGCAACATCCCCATGAACAAAACAATAATCAAGAAAATAAAGAAAAAGCCACAATAAGTATAACCAAGCGTTTTCATTTGTTTTTAAATGTATGTAAGCTCCTAGAACAGAACTGAAGGACTCTGCACTGACAGCATGAGCAGGAAAAGCATATGTGTATCTGGTCATGTTAAAATAGATAACTCACCCCGGCCTGATGTACGGCTGACAGATCCAGTGGAAAAAAGGTAACCCTTCTTTTGGCTTTTCTCCTTCTTTCTGATTAGCTATTTCTTCCTGCAGCGTAGAGATAAAGTCAGTTTTCCTGTAGTTCTCAGGAAATATTCTAAATAATGCCTCAAACTCCAGGAAACCACAAAGAGTAATTTAAAATAACTGCTACTGACAGTTAAATGTAGTCAAAAAAACTCTAGTAAGACAGATGAAATGAAGAAGATTTGTAACTCCTAAATAAGCTTTCTCCAATGTAAAGCTGTTTGGGCTTAAGGGGCTGGTACTGTAGTAAGCTACCCATATCACAGTTTGTAAGCCTCAAAGTTTCAATGAGGTGGCTAACAGACATCAACTGTGTGACATACATGGTACGTTCCCACCAAATTCAGACAGAGTTGTTCTGGGAGATTAGGGTCCATCTTGGTACCTGGCATCGTAGCTTCAACTCCCTGTTGACATCTACAATTCCCTCTAGAGTCTTCACTTTTGCTAATTCTTCACGCAGCTGCTGGTAAACTTGAAGCCTGAGACAAATTCAAAACATCAAGTCATGTTTATTCATTATTGCTAGTCTAAGGAGATCATCTAAAAATGTCTTTTATAAAAAGCTTTTTACAGATTTTTCTCACTGCATTTGCCTGTGGTAGCAGCTTATCGTCTTTCTTGTGCACAGACACCTGCTACTCTTTCAGGTAAATAGTTGCAAGTTTGGGCACGTAAACAAGGTACTCTAAGATAAACTAACATAAACATACCATGCATCAGCTACTCAGTAACTGCCATTGACCATGCTCTTACTCCACAATAAATGTGAGATAGTTTGCATCACAATGAACGAGAAGTTAGTTAACTCATGTTTACCAAAGTGAATGTGTGCATATAGGCAATTACCACACAGTAGCAGATGTGCTGCAAGCTCACACCTTAGCTTATCGCGTGGTAACTTGTTCATTTCCCAAGCCTTGTTTCCCTGTAGTGAAGGTTAAAGGCTTCAGACCACATTCTCTCCAGGTAGGTCCAGGAAAGAAAACCTTGCAACATACTAATTCAGGTCAGACAAATTCTTGTATAGAATCATAGAAACACAAGTTTGGAAAGGACCTACAAGATCATCTAGTCCAACCATCCTCCTATCACCAATACTACCCACTAAGCTACTAAATTATATCTCATATAGAAAAACCAGATGCTTGTCAAGCAGGAATACACCTGAAAACATGAAGTGTTTTCTGGAGATACTCACGTGTGATGCCAGAGCTTGAAGAGATGAGCCCTAACATAAGACAGTGGACAAGGGTACTTCTGCACTATCTCCAGATACTCCTCAGCCATCTCCCACACCAGTGGGTTTCGGCCCTCAAACAAAGCTGGATTATGAAGATTACCTTCTAGGGAATGAAAAGAAACACTCAAACTTTCATTTCAGGATTGTAACGGACAACAAAATCTAGACTCTGTAGTTAATCAGCTCTGTTGTGATTGTTCTGGCCAGTCACGGACACATCAGCCACAAAGAGGAACAAAGGGTTCATAAATTCTAGCCTGACTTCAGGATACTGTATTTCACTGTATAATTCTTAATTGAGCACAATAGATCATACCTAATTAAAATATTAACCACAAAGGCATCTAACCTTTCCACAAAAACTTTCAATAAAAGAGAAATCAATGCTTTTCTTGGCCAGTGGTTAAATATTTAGACAATGGTATGTCCGTACTCTCATTTGTTTGGCTTCAGTTTGCAAATACAGCATCTCACTATGCCTTGCTCTAGGAGTTTGATAAACCTTTTGTTAATCTGTGTTTTCCTAAAAATAAGATTTCACAATGTCTCAGGCATCATGTTTCATTGCTTTAACTGTGCAAGTGAATGGAAGCTTTTTCTGATACCTGTCCTATCTTCTTGTAGCAAGTAATATCACTTCTTTCTTATCCCAACCAAATATGAATCAGCTGCATCTTAATCAGTGGACACACTTACTGCATCAAGACCCATTCAAAAACTATTCTACCGATTAACCGATGCTCTGGAAATATTCCCAGACAGGCATCCTATATGTCTTTGTCACGTAATTAGACTCGAGCTATCCACTCAATGGTACTACAAGTTCAACACAACAATTCTTACTGTAAAGTGCTTCCTGGTCCTGGTAAGAGATATCCAGTGTAAAAGGATAGAGAAAGGCCACTCAGCTTTCAATCTAAGTTGTTCACCATGTCAGCCTGATGTAGGCTTTTAATAAATGTGTATGGGGCTGCTAAAGAGAGTAAGAAACAGTTTGTATCCTCACCTATTAACAGTAAAAGCTCATTTTCTTTACCTGCAGTCATGACACCATGCACTCCTGTCTTACGGATACATTCTTCCACATCACTGAGACACTGGATGTTTCCATTTGCAAACACAGGAATGCTCACGGCTTTCCTATACCAGTGAATAAAACAGATGCATAATATTGAGAATTAGGAAGGACTCTTTAGAGTCAAGCCAGAAGTCCTACTCCTGTCACACAAATTCACGCTTCGGTGCCATTGCACTCACTGCTTAAAGAAAAAAAAAATCGCCCTTCATAGTGTGCTAGCAGAATTACATTAAGATTGGTACTGCTCACTAACCTGACAGCTTGAATGTGCTCCCAGGATGCCACACCAGCAAGTGGTCCCTTCTGTTCTTTAGTACGGCCATGGACAGTCAGCAGCTAGAACACAAAGTTCCATTTACTTTTTAAGTGTATGAACCACTGGAACAAATCCATTGACAAAAGATTTCCTTTAACCCCATGCATTTCATGGATGCTACTGAATTCCCAGTGCTATTTAAAAAGTGCAGGGCTGTTGGTATCATGGAAAGGTACCAATGAAGTCCTGGGCTTCATTCATCTTGCTGCTCCATGGCACGATAAGGTCTTATCTTGGGAGAACCTATGGATTTCCTATTGCATTGGCTCCTGTTTGTGATACATTGATCTGGCATTGCCCTCAGCAGAAGGCCTAAATACTGGCAGTACTGTCTCTAACTACAGACTGCCTCTGAAATTAAATCCCAGAAGGTTTGCTTATTTCTTAACTGGTGATGGCGACCTTTGGTACTAGTGTTTTTTTATTTACATATATATATATATATATATATCCCTGCGTATTTCATACATTCACACTGCTTCCTGCAGTTTTTTGGTAGTCTGAGGTGCTCACCCACAGTGAAAGATGTCACATGGTGAAGTGATTACAATAGAGACGGAACTCATGACCTCTTCCATATCACACTAATGAACTGCTTGCTGCCTATGACTGCTAATACAATATACAATCACATTGTACCCCATTTTCCTTGTCTGTAAAACAATGTAGCGTACTCATCTCCACGATACATCGAAGTCTGGTCACAAGATGCTTTATACAGAGACATGTGTCCAATGCAAAAGTACAGGGAGCAGCTGCCTCCTTACCTGGCAGCCAGCTTTCTCCAGCATCTGTGCATACTTCACTGTCTTGTCAATTTCTGGGAAAACACGGATTTTGCATGTGATGGGAACAGAGAGCTTCTCGTTAGCCAGCAAAACTGGGAAAGATTGAAAAGACAGGTAAGTGGGCTGCACAATGCTATGAAGAGTGCCTATTCTCAAGATCAGATAGATACTGGGTGTGGTATGGAAAAAGCTTGAAAAGTTAATGCTATGCAATTCTCACAGCTTAAACGATGAGCAATGTCCTCTGCAATCCTTATTGTAGAGGTTCATCAACTGATAGTAAACGATGCACAAAACCTGCATTCTAATAAGGAGGCATTAAATGCTCAGCATTTAATAGATCTAACTCTTCCACCAAATTTAACCTTCACTCTCAAGGACCTCCCCCCTCAAATCTTAACCACTGATACAGGTCTACTACTGTCACAGCATGTTGCGTCCCTCCTTCTCTGCCAACAACATTAACACTTGCCTAGATTTCCTACTAGAGATCCTTTGCTTCTATATAAATTATCATCCAAATAATTATGAGTAGAGCCTTGTCCATGACAACCAGCAGCTCATTGACTGTTCATGCTGGGGGCACCAGTACATGCTAGGGCCACACAGCTGGAATGCAACTTTGCAGAAAAGGACCTAGGAGTCCTGGTGGACACCAAGTTGAACATGAGTCAGCAGTGTGCCCTTGCCACTGAGAAGGTTAACAGTATTCTTGGATGCATTAGGCAAAGTATCACCAGCAGGTCGAAGGAGGTGATTCTTCCACTCTACTCATCGTTGGTGGGGCTGCAACTGAAGTGCTGTGTCCAGTTCACCTCCCCTCCCTCCCCCCCCAGTACAACAGAGACATGGACATACTGGAAAGAGTCCAATGTAGGGCCACTTGGACTGTAAAGGGACTGGAGCATCACTCCTATGAAGAAAAGATGAGAGAGGGGGGACTGTTTAGTCTAGAAAAGGGAAGGCTTGGGAGGATCTCATCAATGTCTATAAATACTTTAAGGGAGCCTGCAATGAAGACAAAGTCAGGCTCTTGTCAGTGGTGCCCAGTGCCAGGAAAAGAGGTATTGGGTACAAACTGGAACACAAGAGGTTCCATCCAAAAATCAGGAAGCACTTTACTGTGTAGGTGACAGAGCACTGGAACAAGTTGCCCAAAGAGGTTGTGGAGTCTCCTTCTTTGGAGAGCTTTAAAAGCCATCTGGAATCAGTCCTGTGCAACCTGCCCTATGTGTCCCTGTATGCACAGGAGGAGTTGGACCAGATGACCTCCAGAGGTCCCTTCCAACCTCAACCATTCTTTGACTGAGGTAGGTTGTGATCCCAGTCAAATAGGAATCAAATGGGTCACGGTAAAATCTACAACATCATGTTAAACTTCCATAGTCTTTACACAGGGCATGGAATTGGAATGCTACCAAAAAGAGGGCTAATGAAAACAGCCAACAGAAAATGCTGAGCAGTGGCATGCCTGAAATTCTGTTTTCTTCCAGAGCTTAGATGTATAATGCATGAAGGCACCAGTTTTCTTCTCATTGAAATCCTAGAAGTTCTAGCGATCAGTACTTCCTACCACGCTTTTGAAGGAGCAAGTGAGGTGTATACAGGTCCAAGCAGAAAACGGTACTGTGTGGAGAAGGAGGAAGAGGCAGAAGCTTTGCCCAGCTCTTACAGAATAGCCTAATAAGACAACTCTTACAAACCAAATGCCCTGTGTTCTCTTCGCACCTTGAGGCTGTTCTGATTTACATCTTTCACTCCAAAGAGAAGCACCCTAACAACCGCATTATGTGGCGGGCAAAAAAGCATTGTCTATCTTTCTAGGTTCCCAGCAGTGTCTTTTTTCTGTACATCATTCAAGATTCCCTGGACTACAGGGAACACAACAGAAGTAAGAGTCTATAACGTCATAGTTCAGATACTTGCTTTGTGGGGAGAAGTGGGGAGAAGACATTCTTGGCTCTATACAATGATCAAAAGCTTTCTTAAAAAGAAAGCAGTTCCAAATGTATTTATTTACATATAGATATATGTATATATATACACACACAATATTGTTCACAACCACTACCAATATCCCAAGAACACCCTACACAAGTTTGAAGAAGAGAGGCATAATTTGTTAAGACATGGATGGAAAAAGTACACTGAGCTGATGACAAAAGGGCAACTGTAATGTCAGAAAGAACTTGAGAACTTCAAAGTGAAAAAGTAAGGTGCTGAGTATTCTCCTATTTCTAGAGGTGAAGAGCCACTAAGCCATCACTAGACTGGGACTTAAATAACTCCCTTTCACCTAATGTGAAAGGTACCAAAGTCTTTTAGCAGACCTAGTTTGTAGTGGGATATCATAAAGTACCACGAGGGTGCCATTGGAATACGAATACAGTAATAAAATAAATAACCCCCCCAACCTTCCTCAAATAAACCTGCTGCACCCCTTATCCCCACAAAAATTAAGCCTCCTCTTACTGATGAATTCATCCCATTCCCTCTCAAATTAAGCCTCTGAAGTGAGGCCTTTCTAAAGACTTACTCATTCTCTGGAGAAGATCCCATTCCTCTTGCAGAAATGCTCCATAGTGACCTATAATAAAATAGCATATGACAGACTTGTGTGGAACAGTAAGGTTCTGAAGTATACAGCTTTCATAAACATTCACACACAAAGATACAGATACTGATGCCTCACTGACAGAAACAGATTTGTTCTGTCCTTCCCAAACTGGAGGAGTTGGATTGTTCTGTTTCCCATGCTGTCCTAGATTTACTACACTGGTTCTGGCTTTTGAAATACAGCTACCTTTGCAATACTCTTAAGGGTTCAGCAGGTTTTATCCTCTTATATGCTAACGTGAATAAACTCTGTGCATGTATCAAGCAAACAGGAGACACTAAGTGACAGCTTAGTATTATTTTAAATGTAGTTTTTTTAATTTAGGCTCTTTGATTGAAATCAGAAAAAAAAAAATCAAGCTCTTGCTAAAAATGAGATTTTTGAAGAATATTCTAGATGTAAGAGCGATCACTCAAGAGAAGTAGGAATTATTAGTATACCTAATTTTGCTTTAGGTACTACAAATCTGTACCTATTAAAGTGGATGCAATTAAGTCTGATTTCAACAGTACTGCAGTCACCCACACCAAGGCTTAATTTGGTCTTTTCGATGTCTCACTGCCAAAGTACACATTTAAAACACGCAATTTCTCTGTTTATCCAGGGCTCAGATTTGCACATACCTCTCTTTGCAATCATCTGGGGACAACCCAAATTTAGGTCTATGGCATCACAATAATCCTGAGCCAACAGTGCTGCTTGGACAAACACTTCAGGGTCATTGGCACAGAACTGAGAAAGACAAAAACAAGTGGAAAAATCAGGCAATAGCTTTTTTTCAAGTACTGATAACATTATAACATACTTACAAAGCAACCAGTTGCTACAGAAAATGGGCATAATATACACAGTTCATAACAACTGTAATTTCTCAAAAAGATCTGTGACACCAGCTAAAGAGTCTCAAATTTCAAATGACAAAATGAGAAAGATAAGCATCAAGAGGCAAAGAAATATTTGCAGAGTATTTTACATGTGGCACCCATCAATAAGAGGAAACAACTCTTCAAATTCCCCGTACAACAAACAGCTGAAGCATTTGAATACATAAAAAGTAATGCAGAAGAAATGAGTTACCAATGGTGTCTGTCTCAGGGTCTTGAGATGATCAAACTTTGTAGATACTAATAAATACCATTGCCTCTAAACTGAATTGATCTGTGCAGAATGTGAAATAGACACATTGGGCTGTTAATCAAATGCTTGGTCACAAAAATAATTAACTTTACGCTTAAAACATTGAGAAAACATTGATGTGTTACAATTACCTTAATTTGAAGTGGTTTTGTTGAAGAGGATAGAGGCAGACCATTCCTCACAAGTATGCTTTTAAACAGATTTTCTAAAATGTTTTATTAACAAAAAATAATCCACCGTATCTTTAAATTTAAATAATATGGATTTAAACTGAAACAAATATATAAAAAAGCATTACTTAAACCCCGTAACACTTTACAAATCACAGCTGACACTGACCAAAGCCAGGAAAGTCATTTGCCTTCTCTGAAATGACAGAAAACCTCCAACCAAGCCACATCAATGTTTTTTTACATGGAAAATAAATGCTCCAGGGAACAATGGGCTCATATATATCTCTGCCTGATCTACTTCCCAGTGCCTGTGATAAAACCCAAGCCTGTCCAGAAGTATAAGAAACAATAGTCAGCTAACAGAAAAGAGTACTGAATAAAGAAGCTCCGTGATGGCAGATAACCAAGGTACCCTGCAGAAAAGAGGGTGTGAAGAACAAAGTAGATGAAAGCTTTACTTTCTGAATCAGAAAGAGGGATTAAGTTTTCTGTCTCCTTTCAGTGCATTCTGATGGAATCATAGAATATCCTGAGTTGGAAGTACCCCACTAGGATTATCTGTCAAACAACTGGCTCTGCACAGGACACCTATAAATCAAACTGTATGTCTGAAAGTGTTGTCAAAATGCTTCTTGCACTCTGACAGGCTTGGTGCTGTGACTTCTTCCCTGGGGAGCCTGGTTGAGTGCCCAATCACCTTTTCCTAACATCCAGCCTGAACCTCTCCTGTCGCAGTTCCATGCCATTCCCTGAGGTCCTGTCACTGTCACCAGAGAGAAGAGCTGTCCGTCCATTCCCCTTGTGAGGAGGCTGTAGGCTGCCATGAGGCCTTCCATCAGTCGCCTCTTTTCTAAGCTGAACAATCCAAGTGAATTCAGCTGCTCCTCAACTATCTTCACGTCTAGACTCTACACCATCTCTGTCACTTCCCTTTGGACACTTTAGGTCCTCCTTATAATTGTTGTTGCCCAAAACCACACGCAGTACTCAAGGTGAGGTCACACCAGCATAGAGCAAAGTGGGATAGTCACTCCCTTTGGCTAGCAATGTCATGCCTGATGCACTCTGGCAGCTGCCAGGGCACGCTGCCGGCTCATAGTCATAATCACACCATTTCTCTGCTCACACTGTCTTTCCCTGCATTATTCTCCAGCTCTACAGGCCCCTCCCTCATTGGGATAGAGTGGTAAGAAGCACCCAGACCTCACACAGCACTAGTAAGACAAGCTTAAAGGGGTGTACTTTTTCTTGCATTTGTTCTTCTGTCTCTTACTATAGCTAAGCACTGCGATTGTGGTTTCAGAGACACATTCAAAAAACTGTGATTCTCCTAGAGTGGTACAAGATCTGGAACAAGCCTTGACTCCAGAAAAGACCAACTGCAGTCTATCTCCAAAGACAAGGTGCAGAGAACTAACACCGTTTTATAAGTTTAGTGCTTCAGGTCTGTCATACCCTACTTTTCTGTCATACTCTACAACCACTTCGAAATCTGTGTAAAATCGACCAGTTTGTCCTCGTGAAGGTTTGGAGAACGTCTGAATTTACGAACACAAGAGGGTGGATGACAAGGGCAAGGGCACATCTGGCAGCGTTGAGTTACTTCTGCACTGTTGCCAAGAGCACACTGCAAGGCGAACCCCCGGGAAGCTCCGCCCGGCAGTCCCCGCCGCTGCCGGCGGCGCTAGGGCTGGCCCGGTAGGCGCTGCCGACTCGGGAGCGAACCGAGCGGTCGGTCCCGGCGCTCACCTGCACGATGAGCGGGCGGTCCTCGGGACAGGCCTCGCCGTAGAGGTTCTCGCGGCGGTAGTTGGCGTCCCTGAGGAAGACCTGGGCATGCAGCATCGGCGTGTAGCAGAGCTGGGCACCGTGGCGGCGGCTCAACAGCCTCCAGGCCAGCTCGCTCTGGTCCACCATGGGCGCCACCACGTAGTGGGCGCTCCGCAGCGTCTCCCGCCAGAAAGCCTCCCCGCGCAGCTTCGGCATCTCCCGCCCGCGCGGCGCTACGGCGGCTGCCGCCTCGCGCCGCTGTACCGGGGCTCGCAACCGCCGCCTGAGGCCCGGAGGCGGGCGCGAACGCCGAGCCCTGGCAGGGCACAGAGGCGGCCGGACGGTGCAACCGCCATCTCCCTCCGGCCGGCTCAGCAGTGCAGCTGCGCACCGTCCCCTCCGGAAACCTCAGCGTTACCGGCAGGGGCCGCGCGCGGAGGAGTCCTCACGGTGAGGTCCTCGCCCCCGGGAAGCAGCGCGGGGCTCGCGCTCCCTGTGTCTACGGTCGCGGAAGGCGGTACCGGCCGGGACGTTGCAGGACTGTTCCGCTCCGTGGCCCTGCGTAGCCGCGCGCCGCCCCAGCCTGTGGGGCAGCCGCCGTGACGGCGGGCACGGGTGGTGTCACCGCCGGCGCCCGGGAGCGGTGCCACTGCTCGTGGGGCTCTCCCGCGGCCCGCTGTGATCCACCACGAAAAGCGCCGTCCGCCGGTCGCGCCTCCCGTGGCGCGACCTGTGCAGCAGTACGTGCCCGGAGCCGTTCTGCACCCCGTGGTAGCGGGCAGCGCACCCATCTTCCAGTGCAGTGCCCAAGTCCTGAGAAATGTCTTTGGTCTTGCACTTCATCCTCTGTCCCCAGCACATGCCATGGTGAAGGGGTTGTTGACTATTACGTGAGCTTGGACTGAACGAGGGACCTCACTTACCCTCGAAGTTACAAAAGGAATGGATAGGTACCACCAGCACAGAGAAGTGCAATGAGCCACTGCACCAAACTACTTATGTGACAAAACTACACTTCTGCATCAATTTAGAAAACTACTGATCACCACAGGGGTGACACAGGGCAGGATTTCCCATCAGCGAGTATGTTCAGGAAAGTAAAAATAAAAAAATACCACATTTCTACTCATATCAATGTAACTTATTTAGTCATAGTTAGACTATTTTTTCCTGAAAAGAGAGAAAATTGAAATAAAACGTTCCAACATACTCTAAGAGGGGTTCTACCTACTCTTCAGTTGTTCAGGAGTCTGCTAGAGCTTGTCTCCTGACAGCCTTTACAATTAAAGTTCACTGCCTAATCTCACGTTTCTCCCCTCTGCTTTTCTAGCACTTATGGTTGCGATGAATCCTGCTGCAAGAAATAGCTAAGCCTGAAGCTCTTCTGGTTCTTTCCTACCACCTCTTCCACTACCTTCCAGAGGCCTAAGCACTCAGTTCTATTTTGAATACCCAGACTCTCCACCCCTCCCTTTTCCACTTATGCTGTTTCTCCAGGGTTTGTTTTTCCTTTCCTTTGACCCTGATTTGCAGGCAAGGTGTTCGATCTTAACTAATTGCAGGAGTAACAAATGCCTGCTTGCTTTTCACTACTCTATCCTAAATCTTTTGGATTTTACTTGACCTCTCTCATTGCCAAAGACAGAAAGCTTCTCCACGTCAGCTGTCTTGGATAATTGTTTAAAGTCACTTGAGTTCTGTTAATCTATGACACTTCAGGGCTTTTGCCCGTGGCAAAAAAAGTATTTCTTCCCCACAGGAAGCTGGCAGAATACAAAAGCAAAGTCATAGCTTTAGTGCTGACAATTATATCCATTGTTTACCATATGTTCTTGTTCTCTCTTAGGCTATATTGCAGATTCAAGGTTTACTGCACACTATTTCACAATAGCAGTATGTTTTTTGTGAGCCTAATTAAGGCTTCAGGGCCAATAAATGGCTATGTTTTGCAGTCATAAGGAAGACTAGCATGGTGTAGAGAAGCTTCTGAGAAACTAACTGAAAAGGGATGCAGGTATCAATTGACAAGAGATTTCCACTTCAGTTTCACAGGGAAGGGCAAATCTTTGACTTCTCAAAATCAGCAATTGCAGTATTTCATTTTGCATGATGCTGCTATTTTTCCACCCGTCTAGTTAACAGATCACCAAGAAATAACAAGCAATACCAGCGCTAATAAGGTTTTTATTTTTGGCACACTGTTTTCAGTAGCCAGTTACATAATGGGTTACAGGGCAGCAGCTCATAATTAGACAATTATGGGAAAAACAAAACAATAACCTTCTGCTTTTCAAATAATAACAACCACAAGAACATTGAGAGAATAAAGGCTGTAAGTAAATCTTGAGGAACTTCTATTACTAAACCAGTATCTTCAAGCTTTGCCTAGAGGAGACCATGCACATTTATGTTTATACAGAGAACTTGTACAACTCCTGCTCAGAGAGCTGGAACAGCATTAGTCCTTGCTCCCTCCACACAGCCCATTCAGAACTGCACCATTTTCATTCCAAGCTGAACAGCTGGGTCAGACTTGTTAAACACCTCATTTCAGTGCAGAAATATTGTACCTGTTTGATTAAAGTTTAATCACTCCTTTATTTTTCATTCTAGGTTTTAAACATAACCAAGGCAAAAAGGATTATTTCACTCTGTGTGAGGCTCGCTACAACTGCCAGCAGTAAAACAAGAAGGAAAAAATATATATCAGTCCTCATCATTTTTGTTTTACATGGTGTCATATGCTAGGATGTGCATGGATAGCATGCAGTAGATACAATGAAGTCCCATATTATGCACATATGCCCAGTACATATAGCCACTCCTCAGTATCACATTCTTTGCAGATGTAAGGCACCTTCCCCTTCACACATTACCTGCCTGCCTCCTTCCATTGCCACCTAACACCTGATCATCATACCTAACAACTTAATAGCACGTATACCCATTGCCTATCTAGAACTCTCAATGACCTTGAGGTAGATGCTATTAGTCCCATTTTACAGATGGGGAAACTGAGGTGGTAGCATTAATGGCTTATCCAAAACCACAACAATGGAGCCCGAATTAGAATTTGAGAGTTTCCACTTCAGTCCTGTGGGTGTGTGGTTTGGTTGCATCTAAGGTACTAAAATCATGGCAACAAGAAGCCATGCTTCAAAATAATATTAAAGTCTTCTTTATTATTGTTATTTCTACAGATCCAAATTAGATATGCCAGCAGCAGCTTTACCTTTATATCAAGAAATGAGAGATTTCAAATAAAAGTTAGGATTAAAAAAAAATAGAGAATAAGACAAAAAGCCAACCAGTGATCAATTCTCTTTAATTCTAGGAGAGCCGAAGAGAAAAACATTCTTTAGACCAAAAAAAAAAAAATAATAAAAGAAAGAAAGGAAGAAAGAAATAAAGAAGAACAAGATTTATTCTGGAAATGCTTTAAGCTGACATTATGTTGTTTGTATTTCAGATTTCACAAAAGAAATACCTTAAAAAACTAAAACCAGTTAACCCAGCCACTATCCACAGAGGGTAGTACAAGCAAAAAACACTAGGTCAGAACCTGAGTGAGGAGTCCGCTGTTCCTCTCACTACAATGCTCCTGTACTAACAGGATACTTCACTGGGGAATGAATACACAAAGAACTGGGGATTAAGCAGTTCTGGGAGGCACAATAATGCCTCCTACTTGGTACCTTGTTGCTATCCTGGTCTCCTCTGTATCATAAGTGTAGCAAGGATTTACTGATTTTGGAAAGGACAGATCCAACAAAGCAAAGGCATTTTTTTTAAATTGTATTTTTACGTAAGTTTCCTTAAAAAAGGTACTATATCCTAAAATCACGCCGAACTGATAAATTAGCTAAGTTATGTAGGATCTCCCATCTCATTGCCAAGAGAAAAAAATCAATACCCAAGGCTTAAGTGAGCCCTGTGCTAAATAAAATATGCAGGGGCTTTGGGTAGATGCTTGCATGTTTGCCTGAGCTTCAGTTATGGGAGAGCAGGGGTAGGAGGACTTGTACAGTTATCGATGAAGAACTCTCTTCCCCCTGACACTCCAAATGGCTGGTTGGGTGGAGAGACTGGAGGTGGGAGGGAATAAAGGTGAAGCAATAGTAATGCTTTACTATGGTTCTGGTAAAGCATAGAACAGAACCTTGCACAAATATAAACCGAGTACATCTCTAGGGACAGCTCTGCCTGTTTTTATCAGCTCAAGTTAATGCTGTTCAATACAGTTGCATCTGTTGAACCATCCATACTGCCCCCCACTCCTCTCTCTTCTCAAAAGAGAGAATTATGGCAAGAACGCTGCCTTCTACCATTTCCTTTCTGAACAGGGCAGGGTGTGTGTGTGGGGGGTGAAAAACAAACAAAAAACCACAACCACGGAACAAAACAAAAAGCACACAAAACCAACCAACCAAAACAAAACAACAAAAAACACCAAATAAACAACAAATAAACAGGCTGTTCCAAAGATGCACTTTGGTTTAAAAAATTGGTAACTTTCCCTTGTAGAATAGATCTACCCCTCCAAAATGTATGTTTTTCTCCGGTACCCATGATAAATTAAAACCAAGCAAGAAGGCTCTGGTTTGACACAATAAATACTTAGAATATATCAAATTAAAAAAAAGAAAAAGGAAAAAAAAGAAAAAAAACAACACAGTTACAAAAGCCTCAATGGAATTCTCTTTCTGACCTAACTACAGACAGATTCTTCACAGACAACAGGTATCTCCGAAATCAGCTGCAGCTCCCCTCTCTGCTCACTGGGCTTGGTCAACAAGTGCTACCACTTACCCTTTGGAATACTGTTAAGACAAAACAACACAGAGCACAAGAAATCTACTGCTAAATTTGTTTTTCATACTGCCAAAGGTGTAGGAAGCAACCATCAGTGGGGAACCCTCACAGCAGTGCACAGTGACAGAGTCACAGCACTAATGTAACATGGACAGGGATAAAACAAATCATAAAAAGGGAAAAAGGAGAGAGAACCCATAAAAGTTGTGAAAGAAGAGTGAGTGAGTGAGAAAGACCAATCAAATGCAGCTGGACTTCCCAGTTCTGGCAGCAGAGCAGATGAGATGTTGAACAACAGGAAGAGTTCCTTGGGGTCTGTCATAACAAGGAATGTTGTTGGCATTTTCTTCACCATTGACAGTAAGTGAGCAGAACTTAACCCTCTCTGACACTGACACGTGGTTCTGCCAGTGAGCTGTGGATGATCCCAATAATTGATTCAACACCATCTCCCTCCAATAAGGTGCGGTGATCCCCTTCAATGACATGGACAGACACTTTTCCATCACATACCTGTACAGATGCAAAACAGAAAAAAAAACTTTACATTCTCAATTTACAATGAGCTAACCACCTGGCTGTTTTGGGTTTGTCAGTGTAAGTTACTCGTATTTTACACCACTGTCTCTACCAATTTAATTGAAAACATGACCAGTTTTACTCTGATGCATTTTTCATAGATCAGCTACAGGACACTGTTTGGAACTCACGTTTTAAAGCACTGTAGTTTGGCAGCCTGACAGGTGACCCACTCAAATATAAGCTGGGCAGGAAGACAACCAATATGATACCGATAGAATAATTTACCTACTATATCAAAGAATGACTGAAGTAGCTACTTCCAATCTCTTAAGAAAACCAAATAACCCTCCATTTATCTTTCTCCTGCCATCCCCATGCCTCTTCTTTTGAGGGCATTATGGAACTTTAAATCACATTTCATATTAGCTTGGAATCAAGAATGAATGCAAGTCAGAAGTCTGAAGGGGCAGAAGGTGCTAGGAGAAGAAAAGTAATTCTGAAAATCTTTTACTGTACAGATACCAGGAAAGAGTCCACAAAGCGTAACTAAGAAAAAGCTGCCTCTGTTGTCAGAGGGCTGACATTCGCTCTTCAAAGTCTACCCTCATGCAGAAGCCAAACTTTAGGGGTCTACAGTCAAAAAAAAACAGAGTCTCAAAGTTACTTCTGTTGAGTCACATTCTTCTAGTATCTTTATCATCTATTTAGGTCATGTATCTTTATTGTCTTATTTATTGTCTGTTTAGGGAGCTACAAGAATTAGCTACAGAAAACAGATTATCCAATATAGAGGCTAGACCTCCTTGCTCTTCCTGCCCTGAGAAAAATGTATGGAACCAATCAACTTATTTGCTTCTTGAGTCTTTACTTCTTGTTAGAGCATGATAGCTGCAGAATAACTATTTCTTTCAGTTAGGTTTCATCTTTCTACCCTTCTGTAAGAATGGTTTTCCATGCTTTTCTTTTATTCTCCCAACTCCTAGGGAAACCTCAACAGCCAACAGGAGGCCTCAAACTGACCTCAGAGAGTCTGTAGTCTCCACCCAGACCTTCTTCATATTCATTGTGAGTCTTCGCCCGCATCAGTGTCACATTCCCATGATACTTTGACTCTGGTATATACTTGTCAGCAGCCTTCAGCTTGTGGTAAAAGGAAGCAGCTGCAAAGCTGAGTGCTTCACGATTGATGTTTTTATGAATCTGAGTTATCAGGTCAGCAGCAGCATTGACACGAGCCTCCAGATCTTTCAAGGGCAAAAGAATCTCCAACAGCTAGAAATAATAACATTTTTTTTTGTTTAAGTCTCAATATCTGGGAATTAATGTACATTAAAAATAACAAAACAAAACATCCACATCCCTCCTTTGCAATATAAGAAACAAGCATTACCTTATTATATTCAATGCCTGTAAACTGCTGAACAAAGGCACACAATGCTTCTGTCTCCAGTGCAGCCTCATTTCCTTGGGCCAGCTTGGCTCTGTAGCTCTGGAAAAGCAAGCAGTAAAGAGCTATCAAAAGAACTATATACCTGAGCTTGAATGCTAGATAAAAACAATTCTAGAACAAAGGACTTTGAATTGGAAAAGAAGGCAGGGGGAGAAGAAACCAACAAATAGTGAAACCAAAGCTTGGTACACAGGAAAGATACCTTAAGGACAGAATAGAAAGCACATCTACAGGTGGCAATTACCAAGAATCTAGGATCTTTCTAGTATCTCCTAGAAAGCACAATTAAAATGGAAAGGAAGGCTTAAGGAGGGTTTCCTAGCACCCCTACATTAGGATCTTGTCTTGAGGGCTCCATACTAATATTATTATTTACCATGGCAAGAGCAGCATTTGTGGGTCAGCCCTAGCCAGTTATTGAAGACCACCCCCTACATGCTTCCACTCTTTAGCCATCCTTAAGCATCCACTATCTATAGCTCTGTCCCAACTTCTCCAGCAAGAAAAGTCTCAGCTTTTCAGATAGTTCATATCTAGAATATTAAGCTCCCAGTAAGTATCCAATCCTCCCTGACGACAGATGATGGTCTCCACATTGAAGATTTTCTTTGCATTTCTTACCTGAGTGTAAGCTGCCACAAAGGAATGAGACCCATCAAAGAGGAATAGACTGTTGAGTGCATGGGAGGCATTTTGTTGTCCTTGCAGCTGGGAGCACATTTCAAAAGCTACACAGGCACCAAAAGAGTATCCAGCAATGCGGTAAGGTCCTTCAGGCTGTATCTGCTTCATACAGTCAATGTAATAGGATGCCAGACTCTGTATGCTGTCCAAGGGAGCAGCTAGAACATGAAAGCAAGTTAGAAACAGTCAGGTGAAACAGACATTAGCAGAGACAATTATGTTTTCGTGAACATAGAAACAACCTCATTAGAAACATCCACATTATTTTAAAGGTAATCTTCTAAATCACAGTGAGCAACCTATATTACGGACAAGGAACAGCAATGCTTCTAGTTTCCAAAGACAGGTAGAACACTAAGCCTTGTTTTTCTCCCACGTGTTTACCTGCTGGCAGGGACTCAATGAAATATCTAATTTTTCCATTTTCCCCATGCACAAGCTTTTCAGTCTAACCTAATACTTCTCATTATCTGGGGTTGTTAGACACAACCCTGTGTGGACTGTAGGTACTGATGCTTGATCCTCTGAGTTTAAGTGTCCAGAAACAAAACTCCTTCTACAAGGGAACTGAAGTTCAAAACGTTAGATTTACAAATTCAAGATACTGAAGAACTGAGATACCTTTTGTGCACTGGAGCCCATAGCATGGCATATGAAGTCTGGAAGCGAGAGTGTAGAAAACTGCAATGGATCCCTCAATGGGGTGAACAAGGAAAAGAGGGCGCTCTGTGCTCTGAACATCATTGAGACGGGTAATTGTTGGCCCTTCTGGATTCACCAGCAAGTTGTTCAAATCTAATTTTGGAGGCTCGCCTGGGCCTGTCTTCAACAGTTGGGATGGCTTCAGCTCTTTGAAGGAAAGCACACCAGAAAAACACAGTTAGATACAGGATCAGAGTCTTGGTCTTGTACCATAACCCTAAAAGAGGTGCTCATGGTTGCTCAGATTAGCCCATTGGCTCACAAAACCAAGGCACAGACATAAGGATCTTTCTACCATCATGTGCTCTGTGGCAACTGTATATGCTTTTAGCTTACAGTAAACATGATGTTATGTCGTTTATTCCTACAGATACACACATACAACTGCTTAAGAGTATCCATTTAGGCAGATACTATCCAGGCAGCAAGACAGCTTTCACAATCTCTTATGCTCTTCCCCTGGAACTGGTAGACCTAATCCAATGTCAGTGCATTTCAGCAATATGTCTGTCATATAAAAGCTTTTCAGCTATAATAATCTTATTTCATGGCTTGATAGCGGCTTATGTCACCAGAGATGAAAACAATGGGTTGAGTGCTTAGTTACTTATACTCAGATGACTGGTAGCAACCCTAATCCAGGCACTATACTACCCTCTGCTGTCCCGGACTTGGAGGAAAGTTCACGAAGTTTGTTGATTGTAAGAAGTCGGATTTCTCTCATGGTCATAATGATGTCGTAGTCTCTCTCCAGTGTCTGGCGCACCTCCACACCCATCAAGGAATCCAGGCCCAAGTCTGCTAATGTGCTGTCAGCATTCAGACTACTCACGTCTCGGACACCTGAGGAAAAAAACAGCAGACAAGTGAAAGATCAATTTCTTTTCAGCTCTAGGCCTCTCTTCTCAGCTTTTCTGTTTTTCTTCAAACCTGAATAAACTTCAGCTACAGAGCAGAATTTACCACTCAGGATCATCTAATGCTTTCAAAAATTACTTCTACAACCCACATCTGGTCATATGGGATCTAGTCTTTAGGGTACGTGTGAAATGTACAGAACTTTATGACAGGGAATACATTAATCCCAGCTACATTAGTGTTTCAGCTCTATACAAAGTTTAGAACAGCTACCTAGAGAAATTTCACATACTGAAGACTGTAACTGAAACCACAGTCTTAGGCCTAACACAATCCTAGGTTACGAGATGAGATTGAAACAGTTAGCAGTGGCAATGATGGCTTATTGCAACACTTGATGCTTATCACATTAGAAAAACTGACTTTTCTTCCAGTCTTAATTCCCTCTTCTCCATCAGTTTTGCGCTGTTCACATCTCTCATCCTTTCCTTACCTGAAAAAAGGCTTCTCATAATAACACCTGTACCCATAGCTTTTCCTCTCCCGCTCCACCTTATCCTGACCCATGTTTCCACCCTTAGGCTTCTCACTTATTTCTCCCTTCATCATCTTCAGCCACTCTCTCCTTCCAAACAAACCCTACAGTCGGTACAATTTCCCAGACAATCCCATACATTTCATATAACTTCTAAAAGCCATGAATGTTTTCTGCAATCAAATTTGGTGTTAGTTATTAGACACAATTCTTTAAGTAACCCTCAGGAGACTGTCTAATTTTAGTGCCTCTTTTGTTAGGAAAGAAAAGATCGGTATACACTTCTGTTTGGAAGGGAGACAACTGAAGTGGGACATAGTAGAATTGGCAGAGATTATTCACTTTCAACGCAAGAACAGGGGACGCTGTGGTAAAAGGAAGCAGGTTCAAAACAGACAGACATTGCATTTCTTATAACACACAGTTCAGCTATGGTTCACATGGGATCACACAGAGCTTATAAGAGAATACACTACAAGTTAATTACTAAGAACATAAAAGCCACTTTTTGCAGCGTGGGGAATTCCCAAGCTGAGTGTTTTCAAATCTGGAGTAGCACTCAAGGCATTAATCAAATATGTGCTCCCAGAATTTTCCCCTTGGAGGCTGTTCCTATTGATTCTCCACTTGGAGAAAGGCACCAGTCCACTCTAAACAAAACCCAAGGGACTGAAATAAGTGCGCACGTGTACAGAAACACACTATGGGAGATAAGCACACACTCAACAAGCTGTATTGTTGGAGACAATGAAAGAGAAGGAGCAGCTTAAAGACAAATAATCCCCCAGTCCACTCCCTACAAACACCACTAGCACAACATGCCCACACCACAGCAATCACAGGGAGATGCTGAACAGAGCACCTGCAACAGCACAACTGCGTTCCAAAAGTGTTGACATGTAGACACTGCCCAGCAGTGCTTGCTCTAGAGACCTGGCAGGATAAGGGAAAATGGACGTTGCCCACTGTTCCTATTGGTTTCTCCATTTGGGATGTCATGTTAGGCCAGCCCTAACAAAACCCTGAAGCTCTCTCCAAAAGGGAGAGGACTAAAAGAAAAGAAAAAATAAGAGAAAAACAGCTGACTCCAAAGAACAATAAATTAAATAGAGGTAAGTGGAAAAGATGAATAAAAATACATTTTTTTTACATAAAGGGCAGATGGGGAATCAGAGGTGAATCATTGCATTTAACAGACCACTCCAAAAACCACCCACCCCTCTGAAAGCGGACCAGAAGTCACTGGCTGCTGCCCAGTCATAGCTGGGTGGCAGCAGGAGGGAATCAAGCTTTTGGGCGCTATTGGACACAAAATACTGGAACCATGCACCTCCAGTTTCACCCCATCATGCTGTTCTCAGGTTCTCATGCAAACTGCTATCGAACTAAGCGTATCAACAGTATCCCCATGTCTGCTTCAGCAAAGGATGCTTCTAGAAGCAATCAGAGGATGAGGTACTTTACATCAGCCCTCGCTTTCCTCCAAACAGCAGTTGAAAAACAATATTCCCCTCAGAACATACCGGAGAAATACCACTTCTAGAAAAATCAACTCCAACTATGCAATTGCTAGGCTTTGCATTTACCAATGATGTGAGCAACAGCTTCTACAAGATCCCGTTGATTGCTTCCTTCGCTTTTCACAGAGACCTTCTCTGCTAGGACAAAACTGGACACGACAGGATGAGATTGATTCAGGAAGGTATCGAGCACCTCCAGGCATGAGCTGATTTGCTGGGGAATGGTTCCCCCAATCACAACATCTGTGTTTCCCACTGTCTTCAGGATACCCACATCACCAATGGCCCCCCATTGGATTGCCAGGCCTGTAGGAAAAAAATCAGAAGGAAGAAAACACTAGGCAACTAACTAAAACACATGGCAGCAACAAAAGGGAGTTAAAAACAGCTTAAGCAAATGCCTGCATTTCCTTTGTACTGTTAAACAGTCAGTGTTCATTCATGCATGAACGACTAAGGTTAACAGCTAGGATGGGAAATAGTCTTCAACATTCATTATCATCCTAGAGACAAGTGTACAAATTTCTGGTGAATTGGTTCTCCTCTGGATGTTTGATGGAATAGATTTTTTCTGGGCAATAAATAGTCATCTTACCTGGGAGTCCATCATGATGTCGCTGCTCACAGATACGCTCCATGGCAGAATTGGCAAAGCCGTAATTACTTTGCCCAGCATTTCCTCTTCCACAGCTTACAGAGGAAAACACAACAAAATAGTCCAGATCTGGACACTTCTTACGAGTCACCCTTGGAATGGAGAAGGAGACAAAGAAACCCATCAGAAAAGCCTGCTAACTATGTGTTGCTGTGGAAGGCTAATGTAAGACTAAAATGACTAAGTTTGATCAATTCTGTAACCGTAAAACTAGTTCATATTTATCCCTTCTACAGATACGTACCAGTCCAGATGAAGGGTGCCCGAATACTTGGCCTTGTTGACCTCCCAGAATAATTCTGGGGTCTGATTTTCAATCATGGCATCTCTAAGGACCTATTGGAAGGGTTTAAAACAAGAACAAAACAAAAAATCAGTATAATCTCCAGTTTAAATTTGCCATGTTTTTTGAGATACGAAAGGATATCACTACACAATGGATTTCTGTAACTTTACAACACAGATGTAGCCTAGATCTCCTCAAATTGCAACAAAGCCAACATAGTTTGTGTTAAGTCTACTCTTTCCAGTATTGCCACTGCAGTCTTCAACTATCAAGTTCTGCATAGTGTTTTTCTTGTCCCCGGGAGTTATGGGCAATATTCACCTGATCAAAGAACTAAGCTGGCTGGCTGCATACTGCTGCTTCCCAGGTCAAGGGGTCAGACCCATCAGCCTTTATTTATTCATCAGGTAAGGAAGGGCCAAACAAAGTGCTCTTTGAAACACAAAGAGATAATCTAAAACCTGAACTGCCCTCAGTACAGAAGCCACTTTAATGGCTGCTGTCTCTTAAAAGTCCTAATTATTTTTGGCACTTACCACAGCCAAATTAAAGATGCCCCCAACTGGTCCAAGCCGCAAAGCTTCTTCTATCAATAGCTGTGTTCCTTCTAGTGTTCCAATATCACTAGTAGATACCAACACTTGGATTCCCAGTGCCTTCCATTCTCTAACGCATTTAGCCTGGTAGCCTACCAAAAAAAACAAAACCACAGTGAACGATGTCTACGATGAAGCATTCAGACCATTAAGCTTTTATTAGTGGGCTTCCTACAATTTTCTGACTAGATAGGGAGCGAATAGCTAAATAAGTCCCAATTAAGCTACAAAAGAAAAACTGAACAAAACCTGAATAGTAGATAGAAATCACTTGAGTTTCAGAAGTATCCTAAACAGATCACAGTGTGGACAAGGGATTTGGAAGAACATTTGGAGGATAGGGTGCAACACTGAAGTGAAATAAACTTAAGAATTTGCGTAATGAGACAGTAGAGTGGCTAGATTAGAGCAAGACAACCATCAGTAGTGGCACAACCAAAACTTGAAAAGTACAAAAGGATCTGATTTGTATGTTTGCATAAGTGGTGCAATTGTTAACTTGCCAATAGAAAGAAGAAAGCTGTAAACACAGAAAGAAGTTATGGCTGAATTTGTATAAGGAAACATTTAAGACTACCACTGATAAGAAATCTTGGTACTGAGACTGTAATCAACCTAATGGCTCAAAACTGAGTAATAAAACTAACTGGTGTTACCAGACAGTAGGGCACATCTTTCTAGATTAGTTATCTGAAGGAGCAGAAGCAAGCATCCACACTGAGAACTTGAGGGATAGAGTATCTTTAGTAAGGTGTTTACAGGTCTTTTCTTGTGGCATGCAAGCCACCATGCTACAGCTATTGGACAAGGCAACGAGGTAGCTGGATACAGACATTATAGAGGGGGTAAGGGTAAAAGCTACAGAAAAAATCCTGGGTAAGGAAGAAAAAGGCAAACATGGATTGATAGAATTAAGAAGTATACAAAAGAAGAAAGAAGCAGTAGTAAAAAAAGAGGCAGACTTAAAAAGTACTTCTTCCTTTAGAATGAAGGGGATGACAGCTTCTTGAAAGTGAGAGAATATACACAAGTGATCAAGACATTCCTGTTTGTTGATAAGACACTTAAAATGGAATGTAACAATAAACTGAGGTCAGCTAAAAGGCAGTTACGTTCCCCATCTTTTATGGTTTTTGCTTACCAGTTCGTATGCCAGAACGAGATGTCAGGACAAGCTTCTGTGCTCCTCTCTCAATTAGCCACTGTGCCAACTCAAGCCCAAATCCTCCTAGGCCCCCTGTGATGATGTAAGACTTGGTCGGTGGACAGGAAGTTCGGGAGATGGCAGAGAGTTTGACTGGTTCAGACCTTCTTAAAGGATATTGCTTCTCCTCTTCTTGGACCTTCCACAGCAAAACAAAACCAAATCAAACCACCAAAAAGCAAGTTAAGTTTGGATACACAAACATTTCCCGTCTTTCCACATGCTCCTCCTGTCAATTGGGAGTCAAACTTGTACACTGAGTGACAGACTTGACAATGTTACATACATTCTAGTGTCAGTAGCAAAAGCTGTAAACCTGTGCTGTTTTGGTTACACAACTTCAAGTCAAACTGGATCAGAATATCCCATATAGTACCTACAGAGGATTACAGATGCATCAGAGAATCAAAAAAAATATTATGCCCTTACCTTTATCATAACTTTGCCAATGTGTTTTCCCTGTGCCATGAACCTGAAGGCAGCTTCTACCTCGTCTTTGTTGAAGACTGTACTTCTCAGGGGCTTTACCACACCATTTTCTATGCCTTTTGTCAACAGCTTTGATACTACTTCCCACTCTTCGTTTGATTCTCCAAAGATTGAATCCAGTAGGATCCCATGAAATGACACATTCTTGAGGAAAAGAGCCATTCCTGGAAAAAGCAACTTTGTTATTACCTGATGCTGCTGCCATTTTAAAATGGAGTCTATCTTCTGCTTCACAAATGTTTTTGTGTAGCTTGGTAGTGTAAAACTGAAGAGTAAAGCAGTCATTAGTTGCTAGAATCCCATGTTTTTCAGAACACATTCTTGCATATACTCTCTTAAAGCTATATTAATTAGGTTGTAATATTACAAGTAGACCAGTTTAACAGAAACCCCACCTATAAAAACAGTTTCAAAATAACAAGCTAATACATTGTCAGTCTGATATTAAAAAAGATGTTTTGTATATAGTGCCATCTGAGTCAGAAGTCACAGAGGAACTGGAATCCCATATACATCCCGTCCTTCTCCAGCAGGAAACTCTTCTCCATACAAAGCTTTCACTGATGCTATAGTCTTTTGAAATTTACTTAGAATTAGAAAGTATACTGTCAACACTTGTTATATGCAATTGTTCTCCAAGAAGCTGTGGATGCCCCATCCCTGAAGTGTTCATGGCTAGGTTGGACAGGGTTTTGACAACCTCATCTAGTGGAAGGTGCCCCTAACCGTGACAGGGTGATTGGAACTCCGTTATCTTTAAGGTCCCTTCTTACCCAAACCGTTCTATGGTTCTGTGATTCTATGATTTGCTACTTTTACAGTGCACTAATCTACTACAAATAGACACGTGTCATCCCAATAAGTTTATAAATCTTGTCTAACAGATCTAAGAAATTTAAAAACAAAGAGACAGTGGTAAACTGGTAAACTGTGTCATGTGAAGCAAAAGCTGCTTCTTACTACCTTTCAAGCCAAACTCTTTGTGGGCAACACATCCTACATTGATTATAAAGAAAGACTTCAGGAAAGATCACTCACTTATTTTGCATGTTTTATGAAGGCTTCTAGAAAAATGCTGAATGCTTCTCCAAGAAGGAATTAATGGAAAAGGCTAGAGAAATTGTTAGTGATAGAAGCAATGCAAATTTTGCAGTGATGTATTTAACATATGGCTTGTAAAGCCAAGGCAAAATTCCTATTTATGAAATAAATGTTTCAGCTAAAAAGCTTTTTCTAAATTTGAAGATTAGCCTGCGTTACGATAGTAAGTAGGTTGTGCTGTCATGCTTGCTTAAACATAACAAAAGGTATTTCCTGATGCCTCATCTTACCAAGCTGACTGTTGTTAGACAGATCAAATTTGCCTATTTCCAAAAAGCGCCCATGTTGAGCAAGACACCGCAAACTGGCTTGGAGCTTTTCTTCTGCCAAGGAATTCAGCACAAGGTTGACACCTGCAATGAAAGAAGAAGCAACATCATTAAACTCAACTCTGTGGAGAGCCTACCCCTGTTTTATAGTGATCCCTTTTGTCTTCAGAAAGTGCAAATATTTAACGTGGCACAGCTAACTAAAGAAGGAAAAATAATTTTGAGTTCAAACCTTTTCCATTGGTAACTCGTAATACATGTTGCTCAAAGGTAGTATTTCGGGAGCTGGCAAAGCTATTAGCATCCAGCTGTGGGAACCTTGCTTGGAGGTATTGGCGTTTCTCAGCAGAGCCTAGAAGTACAAGAGAAGTAGATGACTGAATGATGTCAGTACTTTTATGTTAATTCTTTAGTGATGAAAACAATCCATTTTCATCTTTGAGGTCTCAAGAAAAGATTTGCAGTCTAAGGAGCCACCAAGCAGGTGGTTCAAAGCTCTCAGGCTCTCAAGGTGTCAAATGTTAGGACAGAGACTAGTCATTTATGGGACACAGAAATGACCAGAAATAGACGAAGCCTTACAACAGACACTCTTTGATCACATCACTGAATTTAAAATGAAGCAATTTTGTTCTCCCATACTTCTGAATTACATAATATACAGAAGGTAGACAATTTTTCTGTGCTGTGAAAATTTCTAGCATATAGTCAGTAGCTGGTTTTGCTATGTATCCCTTCCTCAGACTAGAAACTAGGTCAAGGTAGCAGCAGATCATGCTTGGGAGAAAAAATTATGTACGTAAATATATTTTTTATATACGTGTGTACACATATAACAAAAAATATGTAGGCGTATACATACACACACATATACATTTAATAAAACTGGATTCTCAGTACCCACCTACAGTAGTAAACACACGGCAGCCCATGCTCAGGGCAATGGCAATGGCTGCTTGGCCCACACCTCCTGAGCCAGAGTGAATAAGGATACTCTCACCCTTCTTCATACCACCTCGAACCACCAAGGCATAATAAGCAGTGGCATAAACCACAGGCACCGAAGCTGCTTCTTCCAGAGTCCTAAGAAGCAAAGTGAAGGGGAGAAGAGATCTTTACCCTTGGAAGCCTCCCAGATTCTCCTGATGAAGTTTGCTTTTCAGCAATAGGAAGGTTAAACTGTCAAGATAGACCAAAGAGTATAAACGGTTCTCAACAATACGATAGATTACCACAGTGGCCAAGCACAGCTAAGGGCTTTATTCTTCTACAGAAGTATTTCAGTAACTCACCAGTAACATAATCAACACCAAAAATCTTTGCATATACCAAAACATAAGGAGCTAAAAGACCAAGAAAGAGACAAAAAAATAGTACAAACCACTGCAGAAAAACAAAACAAAAACAAACAAAAAACCCACAGTGCTCAGCTCCTGCAGCGAATCAGATGACTGAGCCAAATCCTACTCAGGAGACTATACCTCTATTATCATTTCCCTGAGTAGAATCTACTTATTATGCAGTCCTGTGGTCAGATCAGGGTTGTCATTAGCCTCAGGCAGCAAGGCAAATCTTACCCACATACATGAAACAGAAAACATAAGATGACCTACCAGTTTTTAGGGACTTCCCATAGAAACCTCTTGTTACAGTCTACCACTGTTGCCAGCCCTTTTGCTGACACCAATCCCATCACCCTTCTTCCAGCCATGTCCCGTCCTGAGAACTCCATGCCCAGCATGCACTGCTGTGAAGCCCAGTTACCTGAAAGAAGGTAAACATCTTTTACAAATGAAAACTTCTCTTTTTAAATCTTTTCGTAGAGAATTTACTGAAATAGTAGTCCATGAAAGCTGGAACCCTAGAGACAGAAAAAATGCTAAGATTTGTCTATTATGTACTCAGTACATAAGCCACCACAGTTAATCTCTCATTCTTAAGAACAAGAATAGCAGAAAATAACATGGTCTCATTAAATTTCACTCTCTGTCCTTGATCATATTGCTTTAGTTTCCAGCTTGCATCTGAGAAGCTTCACTGAAACATCCTGTTTCAATGACACCTTTTTTTGCTCTGCAAAAAAGAACAATACATAAACTAGAAAGGGTAATTACAGAGAAAACAGGTTTACTGCTAAGTCTTTGTTTCTGTGAACACACACTTTAGGAAGAGACTAATTTCAGTCACGAAGGAAAACACAGCCCTAGTCAAAGTCACTCATAAAAGTCTCCAAACATAGTTTTTACTTTGTTTAAATGAAGCTTCAAAACCATTTCACAGACATTACATTAATCCTTAACTCCCTACCACGCAAGATGATAATCTACATTTCATATACAGCAGATACCTCACCTTGTGTTTTTCTCCCCTAAAAGCAAAACATGGCCAGCAGCATGGCAGCATGAAACTTCAACATTCTCAACTTGGTATGTACCTTACCCATCTCTGGAACCTTCAAAATTTCACCTCATGCTTGGTATCTATGCAATGGGGCTAATGTTTCTTTCACAGCATTTTACCAATTCTGCCGTGTGAAAAATGGGGCTATAAGTGGAAGTAGAACATGCAAGTTTTTGGTGCATAGTCCTGAAGTATGGCTATACTTCCTTTTCAAAAGTGTACTTTCTTGCTAAACAAAAGTTGATATATACTTTATCCGTTGCATAAATAAAATTAATGAAGTTATGTGAATAAATTCTATCATAGTAATATATGAATACTTTTTCTTCTAGTGTAATTTTAGCTTACCAGGGATAGCATCTGGAGAAAGCTTTCCTGTGGCCAGCATAATGTCCCGGAAATTAAGAGATGCATAGTAGACTTTACAGAGCTGAACATCTGGATTAGTTGTGTAGAAGTGCTGAAGGGGGGAAACAATCCAATGAAGGGATGAGAGATCTCCACGTGTCAACGCATTGACGTAGGCATATTCTGTCAACTCCTGAGGTTGTCCTGCAGAAGGAAGAACAGATTAACTTTATAACTTTATACACATTAACACACTTTCCAGAGTGAGTAAACTCCATGTGTAATTGCTGCCTTTTCCTCTATTTGCTCTCCCCACAAAGCTCTTACTTACCCTGCAATTCTGCCTATACCCTAAATACTTTATCCTTCTTCCTGGTACCAGAGCATGCTACTATTCAGTCTGAGCTAGAAAGGAAGAATTCCAAATTATCCACTTATTAAATAATAAGAAAAAATGTGGGAACAATAGCTACTCATAGTCTATGAAAGTCCATTCATACTCTATTATTATAAGCTCTACAAGTGATCCTTAAACCTCAAAGCAGTTACCTTGCTGCAATGGGAGATGCCTGAAGGAGCCCCACTTTCCATCGCGATACACATTCATCACCAGATCTCTCTGAACAATCTCCTGCATCTCCAGAGAAGAAAGACTAATGGATGGGACAGCTGATGAAGGGTTCAAGTTGGAAACGAACACACACCTAGAAGCCAAGAGTTGTCATTATGTTAGTTTTGGTGTAAGACTGAAAAGAATCTAAGAGAAAAACATCTCTCCAACTGTGACTCAAGGGCATGCTTTTGTACCTGACTCTGTGGCCTTCTGCTTCCAGGCGAAGACAGTTCACCATGCCCAAAATTCCTGAGTTCCCACAGCTGGTGGCAGTCAACCACACAGGCTGCTCCGATTGGTCGGCCAAGATCTCCTACAAGACAAACCCCAGACTGTTTTGCCAGGAACCTCAGAAAGGAAACACCCCTTGTATCCTTATGGCAGAGATGAATCAATTGTACTTTAAGAAAAGCAACTGAACAAATACATACTCTTTTTTTCCCCCCACAACCCCAATACTTCTAAATATCTCGTTAAGAAAGTGTAATGATTTGGAAAGCCAAATGTCCAAAACACAGGAATTCTCACCTTTAAGGATTCAACCCACTTATAATGAGTCTCATCTATTGGGAGAAAAATGGGTGTTTTGGCAGGGGATTGCCGGCGACACAGGAAAATAACTGAGCCAAAGAAAGATCTCTTCATTGCAATCATATTCAGTGAGGCCTTGCTGAATAAGCCTTCCCATTGTGCCTGTCAAATCACATACAACAACAATTAAAGTTTGTGATGTTTCTTTTAAATCAATTAAAACTACAAACCACCATCTATACTCCTTGCTGAGTCTCCCTGAAGACTGCCTCACTGGAAACAATAGGCCCTGTCCTCTGTTTTCTTGCTTTTGCTGGAAATTTTGGTGTTAGCTCTGTACTGTCTCAGTATAAATACATATTTGTTTAACGTAGCAGTATTTTATCCATGTCTAGACTATTCCTTCTTCCCTAAAATCCCTAAAATATCCTCTGAATGCAGTAGTACAAAGCCCTGGTTAGGCAACTTGCCTTACTATACTATGAGATATGCAAAAATCAGCAGTAACCACGTTGTCACATCCCATACAGGATTTGAATGTGCCTAAAATTTAATTTCAGCAGTCTAAGAAAGGCACATCTTCAGGGACAAAAAGAATGTACAAATCCCAGCAGAGAAAATAACAGAAAGGGAAAACACTGAGTTTATATATTACTAATTTAGGTTGTGTAAGCCCTATCTGCAATAGAAAAAGTGGGACAGAGGAGGCACAAAAAGAAACCACGAATCACCTAAATTCTTCAATCCTGTGAGAGGGAAGGGAAAAGCCTGGAAGCAACAAATTTGAAGCAGGGAAGGAGCACCTATATGCTTAAATTACATCGAAACAACACTTCAGAAAAACAAGAGAATGAAAACACATGCGTGATATGTGCAGGAGCACTGAGGCTCTACAATTTTAATCATATAAAGATGACTACAAGCTATATAAAACAGCAGGATGCTTTGACAGTGTGATATGTGATATCAAGGATTATGGAAAGTTTTCTGGACAGGGACACTGTAATAACTCTAAGACCCATTCTTGCCTCCATATTGTAGTGAGTGGGGCTACATCTGACTGGCCACTGGCCAATAGTGGTGTTCCCCAGGGCTCGATTCCAGAGCCAGTTCTGTTCAACATTTTCATCAGCAATTTGGATCCAGGAGTTGAATGGTTCAATACATCCTCAGCAAGTTTACTGATGATACTAAACTGGGAAGTGTGGTTGACTCCCCTGTGGGACAAGAGGCCTTGCATAATGTTCTGGACAGACAGAAGCACTGGGCAGTTCCCCCTCCTGTTTATATGCTTCCTTCAAGTACTGGAAGGCTGCAATGAGGTCTCCCTGGAGCTTTCTCTTCTCTAAGCTGAACAAGCTTCCCTCAACCTTTCTTCAGAGAAGAGGTGCTCTAGCCCTCTGATCATCTTAGTGGCCCTCCTCTGTACTCATTCCAAGTGCTCCACATCCTTCGTGTGCTGGGGGCCCCAGGCCTGAACGCAATATTCCAGGTAGGGTCTCGCAAGACCAGAGTAGAGGGGGACAATCACCTCTCTCTCCCTGCTGGCCACCCCTTTTTTAATGCAGCCCACCACAGCTGGCCTTCTGGGCTGCAAGTGCGTGCTTAACTATTACGTACAGTCTCACTTCCTTTTTGATATTAGAGCTGGAGGAATGATATTCTGACACTGAAGCCTTTTAAGATCCTACAGTGAAAAAGCTGTACCCTCTAGCCCAACAATGCATCATGTTATTTTAGCTATAACTGAGTTGTCCTGGCCAATGCCTTCCTAGAGATTATATAGATATACGCATGACAATGACTAATTTTTAATGCATAAAGAAAGGCATTCCTGATTGACTTAGTTGTTTACTCTTCCAATCTAATCTGTGGCAATTGACAACTCTTTTCTTCTGAAGTAGTATTCCTTAAACATATTCTTACAGAGAGCCTCAAGGGAAATCAACATCTACTCAATATTCACCACAAAAAAGTATGCAAGCAGCAGACTCCAGACTAACCACTGAGAAAACATTTGTCCTTCCAGGATATTTACCTGAGACAGGAAGCTATGCTTCTGCTGTAGGTCTGGGCTTGTAAGGAAGCTGACGATTTCTCCAAGAGTTTCTCCTTGAAGAAGGGTGTGTAGCAAAACAAACCCTCCTTCTTTCACTGCAGCTGCCAAGTTAGAGACAATTTTAGTGGTGTTCCCTAGGACATTTGTTGAACAGTTGTATACCACCAGGTCAGCATTGCTCAGGTTTCCAGAAGGAGGGTTAGACGGATCCCACTGGCTAAAAGAAATTCCAGCATCCTGTAGCTCTGTTTCATTAGCTGAAAGAGCTTCAAGGGTGCAATCGGTGGCAATGTAGTCCAGGTGCAATAGGGGTTGAGTATTCAGAATACTCGTGACACGAGAGAACAGATGTCCATTTCCTGCAAGAGCCTGTTAGAAAAGAAAGGAATTGGAAATGGAAAACCAAGCTGAAAAATGAATGATATACAGAATTGTAACTGGAATAATAGAAGTATGTGATCAGGTTACTGGGAGGCATGGAAACACAAGCTATGATTTCATCCCAGGCTTCCAGCTAACCTCCACTATCTTCATCCTGTGACTGGTCATGTTCTCCAGTGCCACATCCAGGCAAGCCTTCAACTCTGAAGAATCTAGCAAGCCATTGAGAAGAGGGTCATCCTGGAAGTGCATTTTCTCTTGAGTCACTATCTGTTCCAGCTCAGAATGTAGGTTTCCATTCAGTTCCAGATGGCAGATTTCAGCAAGGATATGCTGCAGGCCCTTCTGCATGGGTGAGGACCCTGCAGCAGCCCCTGCAGTTTCTAGGCCGTGGATGATTAATTTGACACCATGCACAGCTACTTTAGCCTGTAAGTTCTTGATCAGACCTATGGAGTAGAAGAAGAAATGAAAGGAGGAGTCAGATTTTCCAAACATTTTTCTTTTCCTCTTTCTGAAGAGAATGTCCCCTCCCTCATTTGCTATACCAGGTGATCACCACTGATCAAGTCATAGTCTTATATCATCAGCCTAGCCACAAAGACATAGTGCATTATTCTGTGCTTTCCCATAATTACAGATTATACAGTAGCTGCAGCCTCAAAACAAGTAAGGCTTGTGCCAAGACAATATAAACCACTGAGACTACCCAGGGTAAAGCTGCAACTCAAAGAGGGCAACTAACAGAAAATCTGTGACTGATAGAAGCTTTAGAGAGTTGACAAGGAAAGTTGTATTTTTCCACAACTACAAAAGTGAGTATAAGATTTTTGCTTTACAATTGAATGGAAAATTGCTGATTTTGACTGAGATCAGCAACAGCATTAACAAAAATAAATAAATAAATAAATAAATAAAATTCCACTACAAATAAAAACTTTGGCCACAGTATCTGGACAGGAGGATATACTGAAGAAAAAAAAAAAAAAGGAAATAAAATCTTTAAAACTTATTGCCAAATTAAAGGATGAGCATGAAGTTACTTTACCAACATAGAATATTAAAAATGACATCTCAAGGTATAGCAAAGACCTCAAAAAACAACCCACAAACCCAAAATAAAGAAAACATGCACTCAATTCCTCCCTGCCTCCTTTGACAGAGATACAAGAAGGCAAGGAGCTAGGCACAGATGATATCTCTCCATTCAGAGAGCATTAAACTAGGCTACTGGTTTCACAACAGTCTAAGCTGCTTTTATTCTATTCTTGTGGCAAATGTGAACTTTCTTTAGCATATCTCACTAAAACACCTTCTTGTGCCCACATATAAATGGGAGCAGGCATGTTACCTTCCCCATCTTGGCAGTTCACAGGAAAAACAAAACAAAGCAAGCTAAGAAAGCCAAAGACTTGATGAAGTAGGCTTTCTTATCAGTTTTTGAAGTAAGCAGACTGGATTTCTCCATGAAGAAGCTGATTTCTGCCTCTCTGCTTACAGGAAGGGTTGTGCTATTTGACACACTGCCCCTTAAAGAAGTGTAGATGCCCCCACCTGCTGGCTTTACTCCTACTTGCGTTCCTGAGTTACCTCAGGCAAAAGTAGTTTTTAAGCTTCTAACAAGTGTGTGGACATAGGACTCCTGCTGAAGTTTTGTACAGAGACCAACACTCAATTTCTTAAGTGCTCTAAGGATTGAAGTAGTATGAACAGTTTCTGTCAGCTCTGGCAAGCTGGAAGATTCCCCTAATGTGAAAACAAACCAACCCCGCTCTACCTTTACAGTGCTCCAGATAGGCATGAAGCTGGGCACTGGAAGACAAACAGTTACTCTCAATATAGGGAATAAAGCAGTATTTTTCCAGGGTGGGAGGGATTCGTTCCTGTTGTCGTCGTGGTGCCACAGAAGCATGAAGACCATTAATCTGAACACCTCCTGCTTTGAGGCTGTTAAGACAGTGGTCAACAACAACATCTAAAGCTGAAAGACAAGAAACAAACATAAGCTTGCATCAAACTCTATAAGCATTTTCTTCAAGGTGATCAGATGGACACTGAGTGCTATATCAGACCATTACAAAGGGAGCTGTAGAATAACTTGGAGAGTAAGAGGGCCCCTAAAGTCCATCCTACTTCTAAGAAAGTCAAACATTCATACACAGCACTCAAAGGAACTTGTAAAAGGCCGAAGACAAAAGACATTACCTTCTACATTGTCCTGGTACTGGCACACATGCTCAGGATGCAGCACTGGGTCAATATACACTGAGCGAATCCTGGTGGGTAAGCGTAGACTGCGCCCAGTCTCAGCTAAGACTATCATGTGTAGCAAGGTGTCAAGGAAGGTCACCCAGTTTCCATTCCACAGAACTTTCCCTGCACTTCCTGCAGAAGAAGAGAGAGTGGAAACCTCACTGTAATTGTCATTCAGCAAATGTGGGAAGTCGTTACATAACTACAAAGTCTGTTGCATGCACCCAGCTTCCCTTGTAAACTCCAGTAATCAGTTTTACATTGGACATAACAGCTTTCCCAGTGCCCTGTTAGAACACTTAGATGTTCTCTGTTACCACACTAAAAAGCATAATTACTCCACAAAGCATAGTCAAGTGGACCACTAATACAAATTGAACTAAAAGATAAAATATTCATCATTACAATAACCACATTAATCATTCTTCCATAGAAAGTAAATTCACCTTCACTGTTGCATTCCAGAACACCCTGGAAAGTTGGTCCATAATTATATCCACGAAGATGCAGCTCTTGGTAAACGTCTTCCTTCAAGAGGCCAGACTTTGAGCTTGTATCTAAGTGAGTCTGAAATGCAGCTAGCTGGTTACGAAAGTTCTTCAAAGCATCGTTTTCTAGGAGGTTAATCTTCCCTGATGGGCACAGTGGCAAGAATAAGAATCATCAGTGTTCATACATAATGGATTTGAGTAGGTCAGGGCATGCACACACACTTCATTCACTTACCACTCACAGCCAAATTCCCATTCCCTGACACTTCAAAGCAGTGGGAAGCAGGCATGATTCGAACTTCCAACTGCACTGATCCTGCAAGAAACATTGAGGAAGACAGGGCTGCAAGGTCAGTTACTGCCTCCATTCTCCAGCATCATTTCCAGACTCATTCCACACAACATGGAGTAAAGGTGACTGTATGTGTTACTTGACTGAACAATCAGTAATTTCATACAGACATGTTGCACTCCCAGTCTTACCTGCCCCTTCCCCCCCCCCCCCCCCCGCCCCAAGTTCCTCTCACTTTCCCTTTGCATTTCTTTCCTTATGCTCCTTTAATTGTTGCAATTGTGACAGTACCACTCACTCACCCTTTTTGGGAAGGATAGTTGCCTGATGAATTGTAACGTCTTCAAACATAACAGCTGTTTGCTCCATGGCCATGCCAAGAGACCCTGCCAGAGATCGCCAAGCCAGCACAAGGTACCCAGTTGCTGGGTACAGGATTCTGCCATCAATGCAATGACCAACCAGGTAATGGTCAGGAGAGTCAGGACTCACGTCTGTGACAGAATAAAGAGCAGAATAAAAATTAAAAAAACTCACAAATAAAGAGATCTTTTGCCTTAAGTTTCTTTAAGAGGATGTAGTGTTTTTCCCAGCAATCCTGATTGGCAACATGCCAATCTTAAGACTGTCAGTCTGAATCAAGACAATTTCCTCCTCTGTTCATATTCTTTCACCCCATTTCAGAAGTAGATCCAGTCTCTTTGAAAACGAATAAATAAAAATATATGAAGCTACAAAAGATGACTTCAAGGATGCTGTGCTTTGAGTGTCCTTTTCCTAGTTTTATAAAAAAACGTAGAGATAAAGTAGGAAAACAAACAAAACCAACTGACAAACATACCAATATTGTAGACTGAAGCAGATGCAGAGCCTTTGGAACCTGATGGAAAGTCTTCAGCTTTTGGAACATCCCAGTCCTGGCTGTGGTCCCATTTGATATATGGAGAAATAAGGGGTGTTCCAACAGGGACAGGGTATTCCACAGATGGGAACATGTTGTTTCCAAGGACATTTATCCTAGGAAGACAAACAGGATCATGACTATTGGAGGGGAAAAAGAAAAAAGGAAAAAAAAAAAAATGACCGTAATTCTTAAAGGTCATATAGTAACTGTTCCTGGGCTCCACGTCTGAGACTTCTCCAGGAGTTCCATGAACATTTACTATAACCAAATTTTAATTCTAACAGTCTATGAGATGCAAAGTTTACTTTCTATGAGCCAGTTCCAGGCTCCTAGGCCTCAGGAAACGGATTCCTTCTCTTTGAAAAGCACCTCCCCAGCCCAAACAATCTCTAACCTGTGGAAATACTTCCTAAATGAGCATATAAAATACATAAAGCATAGGTGTAAATCCCATTTTTCCCAAGTTTGTTGAAAGAGTATTTCAATCACGGTGAAGACATGCATGCTAGAGAAGAGGCTTGAATTCTCTCCTAATTGATACCCCACTCACCCTTGATCCCTTAGTCTCCTTACCCAGTTAAATGAATCTTTCCAGCCTGTGTTAGGAAGAACTCCAAGTTATTCTTCTGGTCCTTCTTCATCAAAGGTAGAATAGTGCATGATGGTTTCAAACTTCTCCTCAAGATAGCCTGGTCAAGTAGAGTTCAGAAATCACTGGTGGAAGTTATTACTAACTTTTTTGCCTCTGATTTTCCCTCCCCTCCACACACCACAAAGACACTGTTTCGTCAAACTGCTTCTGCACCTGTGCCAGGTGCTAGAACGTGCATATTTAAACAGGCTAGAAGCAGCACAGCACAATACCCTTCCAGCCATCCAAGAAACTGCATGTCTTGTAAGGAAGAATAAATGTAATATTCATTAAATTCTGCCAAATCACACATCTCCCTTTCCCAGGCAAATTGACCTGTGAAATCAACAGCTACACTTCAAGAACTGCAGGATCACCCCCTTGAGCCTCCCACTTGTGCGCCACCCCACCTTAAGCTCTTGCTCCAAGGATCAGCCTTTTTCAGTCTGTAGCTTCCTACAGCATTTTCCAAACAACTGCTATTAAATCAAAAACCCAGCCTTGAACATCTGACCCAAATTTGATCTGTTCTTTAATTTGGTCTAAAGTCTTTAAATGGAAGAAGGAAGAAGGAAGAGAAAAACAACACTCTCAAACCCAGCTGATGAAATCATTAGTCACTTGCATTAGATTCCAAAATCGTAGTGATTTTAATATTAAGTATAAAATCTTTTTAGAGAAAAATACATGTCTAAATAGTTCTGCTCTGATTCTCCCTTCAAGTCACACTTTCAAAGCACAAATAAAACTAATACACATAAAAAATATATACTGGATTGGAACTCTGAAACACTGTACAACTATAAAACTTGATTCACAAATGGATCATCTTAAGATTTGTCTCATTTTGCATGCCATGGGGCAAATAAAAAGGACCAGCTCTTGAGACTTAAGGGACAAGCACAAGACCACAGCACTGATCTTGTGAGACAAGCACAACCTAGTGTACCTCATGTACTGCATTCTCTGATAAGGGGCTAAATCACAATGACCAGTTCTTATGGGATGGGAAAAAGGGAATAATATAGTGTTCTGAAATAGATGATAGAAGACATTTTGTGTATGCCTGGTATTATAGATATCCAAGTCTTTTTTTGGAAGCTGATGAAAACATTTGATGCCATACAAATTTGCATTTAATCACCTCATTAGCATCCTCTCAAATAATGTAGATATGCGAAGCAACGTTTTGCTTCAGTATAATGATACTCAAATTCCCTGGAAGGTAGGGGAACACAAAAGAGAGACTACACTTCAGGAATCCAAAGTCACATTCTGGCTTTTTACTTTGATCACACAGGACAAAGTTACCCGGCAGAGGCTGGGGGGGAAAACCTCCCCAAATCCCATTCATTAAAGATGGTTAATGCTTGGACATTCTATTTTTTATAAGTTCCATTTGAAGTGTTGTCTATTTTCAGCTCACATTGAGGGTGGGAAGAAAGGATAGGAGGAATGGACACCACATAATTCAAAACCCCACAAAATAATGGAGAATACCTAAAAGCATGCATCTTAATATTAGTATAAAGGTATTTTTGAGAGTAATAACTCAGATCTTACTTCTCTGAAAAATTAACATGATGTAGACATACTTAATATCTGTAAGAGATGCAACACTGCATATTATATTATTTTAGCCAGTCATGTTAGTGTGGAATTGTGTTTTCTTTTCTCCTTGAATTTCTACGGCTATGTAAGTTTGATTATCCAAGTCCGCAAATGAAGTGAGAGGGAACAGTATCAACTGAACTAGCTTTTAAAAACTGAAAAGGAGAATAAGGGAGAAAGAAACACCACTACCAACTACAACTTTCCAATACAAAAACATGAAACTACAGATGGCAATAACAGATTTTCCACAGAAAAGCCCTGTTAGTCCTGAATTTCTCCTCCCTGCCCTGCTTTATACACATGTGCCCTATTAGGTCCAAACAATTTTCTTACTCACTGCAGTTTGGAGAGCTACCTATCAGCTATCTGAAATGCAAGACAATGAATAAAGGCCACAACATGAACGCATGGCTAGGGAAGTTGTAGTATGTTGGGATATTTATTTATTTATTTAAGAAAATAAATAAATTCTTAAAACTGGGAGAGAATTGAAAGTACTCGAGTAAGATACTATTCTCAGAATGGGAAGGAAAAAATTAAAAAACAAAAAAGCAACATTCCCTAATCTTCAGACATTCAATTCCCTTCCTGCAGGAACATTTTGAGATATACTACCACATTGACACAATCAAATAAAATACCTGTAAAAGAGCATGTGGAGCAATCTCCACTACAACAGCATTCTCTGGAATATGCTTCAGGCCTTCATGGAACAGCACGGGACTCACTAGGTTGTTCACATAATACTCTGCAGAGGAATTCCTAGCCAGATCACTTTGCCACTGAGATTCAGGGATAGATGTACTGATCCACCGTGCTGAACGAGGTTTAGGGTGTGGAATGACCTGCAGACAGACAATGAAGAGGGACAGGAGGAAGAGTTACAGGTCATAGATGACAGCAAGACAGGCAAAAGCAAGCAGCCCTTGCCCCCTTTCTTGTGGGACATTTTCCTCATCTTGACTGCTGAGGTCACCATTCTGCTTAATGTGATAGGACTTCAAAACTTACAGATGTCTACACGCTCTTTAAGAGACTTTCCCTCTTAAAGGATAGAACCCTCTTAGCTTAACCTCACTGATGCTCAAATCCAGGTGCCCCACCACAACTCAAGCACACCATAATTCAGTAGCATTACCTTTCTCAAAGCACTTAGCAGCGCTGGTGCAATAGATGCCATATAATAGGAATGAAATGCAACTCCGGCACTGCGGACCTCCTTTGCGAACACACCATCCTTTTTCAGTTTGGCTACAAACTCATTCACAGAGTCCTGAGGAGAAAAGGATAAAAGAGAACTAAAACTAACAGTTCACAATATATTTGGGAAATGTTTGAAGCACTGTACTATCTCCATGCCCTTTATCACTTGCCACTTAAGGGGCGCCATATCAGTGATGAGATTATTGTCGTTCTCAGTATTATCATTCATCACTCATTATACCCATGGCTATAAGAGTATTCAGCATAAGAAATCTGTCATTACTAGCTTACACTTCCTCTCAGAGAGCTTTTGAGTGTTTGAACTCATAAAGAACACCATGTCCCCTCCCACTGGGAGGGGTGCTTTTCTTTTCAAGCAGCTTAGCTTCACATTTTCTTCAAACTAGAACTTCACAGGTTCCAGTCACAGATCTGGCATGCACCATGTTAATTCTTTCCTTACCAGAGGCCCTGAAATAGTGACAGTATCTTCAGAGTTGTGGCAGGCTGGTACCACATTTGGAGGGCAGCGCTGCTTACATTCCTCCCATGTCAGACCTGCAGGAGGAAGAGTTCAGGACAACATGTTTTGAGAAGTAAGCCTTGTGATGAAAGGCAATCCTCCCCATTAAGCATGCAATCACTGCACTTAATTCAGCATTTTACAAAACTGTAACGGATTCCTAGAAAGATCACAGACATCCCCACTCTGCCCAAAAGTGATTCTGCAAAATCAAAGGATGTTTATCTTATGGCTTTAACACTTTATTTGTCACTGTGATATTGAGCACATATTACATGGATACAAGTCACAGTAAAAGCTTGAACTCAAAATCAGATTATGAAAAACATTATATGCATCACTCTAAGCTAAATTCTGTGATAAGGTGTCACGTATTTAATATTAAGCAGAAAAAGAGCTCAATTAGGTAGATAGTACTTTATAGAATTGGTTAAAATAAGAAGCGTAGGTTTATAATATGAGACCCAGTCATCAAACTCATTGCATTAGACCTGCAACAGCTTTTCTCTGAAGTGTTTCACCACTTTTAATCAACCACTGTGTCTAGTCATATGAAACAGGAAAACAATCCTGCTATCAATAGTCATGTTATTTTTAAACATATAAATTAGCATGAAGCCACTGAAGACAAACTGCTGGGTTCAAAGCTCAAAACTTCACCCAGTTGTGAACAAAACTTATAATTGACAGAAACGCTGAGTAGTGCTGGACCGGGAAAAAGCTCCTTCCTGAGTACCAGCAGGCACAAGCATGTGCTAATGGCACTAAGTTCTGTGAGCCAACTGCCCATTACATACCAGCGACTTCATGTCTCATTCTTGCATACTTCAGAAATACTGCTTTTTGAAAAGAGTAAAGAGAAAAAACATTGTGCCTTATATTTTTCACTTCTCTTTTCAAGGTAATTACTGGGACTGTCATTTGTCACCTGTCAATAAATCTCTGTATTTCCACTTGGTTTTGGAATGATGACCAAAACTCTTATGTATTACAGGTCAGATATTACTACCATTGTATCAACTTCAATATTTATAACCTGTTCTTCATCAGAAGAAAAAAAGAGGCAACAGTAGCCAAACTTTTACAGAACTGATTGCTATCACAAACACATTTCAGAGCCCAGTTTTATGTTAATGCCATACAACAGAGATCAGATGCACTTTCCTCTACCACTTTTGCTAAGCATATACCTACCAACAGCAGCCATTCCTCCTGGGGGCAATTTGGCCTCTTTAACACATCGCCCTCGCCAATAAGCAGCAAGAATGGCTTCTTCATGACTTAAGGAATTATCTGCATAGCCACAAGCTACTTCTCCCACTGAGTGGCCCAAAATCCCATCAGGTTGCAGACCTGCAGCCTTCAGCATATCAATTTGGGCAATCTGCAAGGAAAGGCAGAATTAATGATTCCATACCAGAATAAGCAGGTGTAAGGACTCAAAGGCACACAAGAGTGCTGGGTGCATTTCAAGATTATTTTTTTGTACAGACTTTCTTCTTGCCCTTTTTTAAAAACACACACACACACACACACACAAATAACAGCAGCTTCAGCCTCATTTCAAAGCATGTCAAGAATCATCATGTCTCCAGTATTGTTTGTGCTTCTCCACTATGCAGCTTTACCCTAGGACGTTATCTCCAACAACAGGAGATTACCAAGAGCTTGACATGAGCCAGCAGTCTGTGCCTGCAGCCTAGAAGGCCAACTGTGCCATGAGCTGCATCAAAAGAGGCATAATCAGGAGGTGATTGTCCCCCTCTACTGTGCCCTCATGAGGCCTCACCTGGAATACTGCATCTTTGTGCATCAAGCACAAGAAAGATGCGGACCTGTTAAAGCGAGTCCAGAGAAGGGCTACAAAAATGATCAGAGGGCTGGAGCACCTCTCCTATGAAGAAAGGCTGAAAGAGCTGGGGATGTTCAGCCTGGAGAAGAGAAGGCTCCAGGGAGACCTTGTTGTGGCCTTTCAATACTTAAAGGAATCTTATAAAAAGGATGGAGAGGGACTCTTTACTCGGGTAGATAATGATAGGACAAGGAATGATATAATGATAGGAAGTTGTGGATGTCCTGTCTGTGGAGGTATTCAAGGCCAGGTTGGGTGTGGCCTTCGCCAACCTGATCTAGTGGGTGGCATCCCTGCCTATGGCAAGGGGGTTGGAACTAGATGATCTTTAAGATAGAATCATAGATTAGCTTGGGTTGGAAGCTAAGAGTGTCTGTATAAAGCAAGAGCCAAGACCAGCTTTCCAGATCACTTTAAAAGCTCTGCTTCTAGTTTTTTTTTAATACACAACAAACCCTGCTTTGACACTCTTCCAGAATTAAAGAGACTCCATTTAACATCATTTCGTTCTTTTTCAGAACAAATTTTAGAAGGCATTCTATAGAACTTTGTTTCTTGGCAGAAACGTTTACATAAAACTTCATATTTTCCTTAGTATCTTAGAGAAACTACCCCACATTACACGCACAGATACACACACAGAGAGATCAGTTTACATCAACATTCCTCCAAGCATCTTGCAAAGGGCTGGTCCCAAAACTACCCAAACTATCTACTGCAACTATCAACTGCAACTATCTAACTGCAACTAACCTGAACAGCAGCTACTCCAACAAATGCATTGACAGTCTCATCAAAAGTATTGTCATCTGCTTGCAGAAGCAGGTCTGAGACCTTCAGTCCTGTGTTCTTCAAAGCCTCATCTGAGCGCATTATAGACTGGCGAAACACATCCAATTTCATAAGACTCAGGCCCATACCTTTCCACTGGGTTCCCATGCCTGCAAGATAAGCAAGAAAACGTGCTTTTGTAATGCTCTATAATAGAAGTGCACATCATATGCTTGCTTTGGAAGTGAAAGAATCCTATCTAAGGACAAATCATTGCACATTCCTAACACCCTCTAAATTAGGCACTGCTTTTTTGTTCTCTGGACTTTGCTGTCAATAAAAGATAGCTAAATTGGAAGCATTAGATAAAACACAGAAAACATGATTCTCCTACACATACCATGGGTCTGCATGACAGTTCCTCATTCTGGAGAGCGGAAAAAACTTTAGTGTACAAGATCCAACTATTCAAGCTTCATTTCTACAGAAGAATGCAGAAGCCTGGACGCTGCTGTGGACCTACCTGAGCAGATGTACCAGAGTGGTCTACCAGACACCTGAACTTGCTGAACCTCTCCGATGTCACTCTCAGTGCCAACTAGGGTGTAGCCCCTGTAGGGCATGAGGGATACAGGAATTGCAGAGATATCAGTGAGCAGGCGTAAAAATGGACCGCATCCTCTCTGTTTTTTGCTCTCTTGAATTAGTGTTTCTACAGCTTCCTGTGTTCTGCCACAAACTTGAACCAGTCTTGGCAAGTTACAAGTCTCTGGAGGCTGATGTTTCTTCTCATTTGGCTTCAGAATGACATGAACGTTAGCACCTCCAAAGCCAAAAGAATTGATGCTGACTAAGCCACCTTTTGTTGGTGTGGGTTCACAAACCACTTTTAAGGAGCCATTAAGTAAAGCAGGAATATCTGGATTTGGGTCACTGAAATGAAGATTTGGGGCCCACAGCCCGTGTTCCAGAGAGAGAACGACCTGGAAGACAGAACATAGTATTATGTGCTCCATATTTTCTTTTTTTTTTTTAAACTATATTTTGTTTTATTTATTTTCATTACTATAAATGACCATGTAAGCATACACAAAAGCAGCTCCTGTTAGTTTTGTATAAAGGGACCCTTCACAGACTAACATTATCAATGTGGTAGAGGCAATACATACTTCACTTAGGCAAGTTTTAAGGCCATGTAGAAAGTAAGTGGTTAAGGTTAAGGGTGGTAGTTTTAAGTTTAGCTTCCAGACCCTTTCTAACTGTAAAGCCATGCAATCTTGCTGGAAAAGCAACCTAGCTACTAAAGATATCACATCTTTTTTCTCCTCTTTCAGCTATTCTTCCTTCATCACACTCCATCTTTCCCCATTCAGATGGCCATACATACTATTCTTTATTACAATAAATGCTCCCATTTCTGCCTTTACCACAAAAGAGACACACTGAACCACTGGTGAAAGGGTTTTCATGCTGCTTGCTATCCATTTGATGTCTTCTTCACCCAGAAAAGTAGCAGATGTATCAGAACTGGCAGAGCCAGCACAGAAAACAGCACAAGACTTACAATAAAAAGCAAGAACTACCTTTTTCAATAACAACACTACAAACAGTCCATAACACCAAGGCCATAATCATTTGTGACAAAAGTCCAGCAAACCAAACACCATAAGGTCAGTAGCAGATACTGCATGTCCTGTGTGTTTGGCAATTCCTTCATCACCACAAAATTGTCACATAAACAGATCGTGGTTGGGAAACAGTTCTTCCAAGCTGACCATCAGACATGGCAAACTATCCAGGAAAACAACCATAAACGTACAGTTTCGTCTCCAGTTAGCATGTTATAAAGCCACGGTGACAAAAGACTTTTCATGAACGCTATTCCTACACCTACAGTACTACCTACTTTGAACTTACTGTTGCTTTATAAAACATACATATTTGTCCTCTAAGCCTTCCATGGCTTCTACATAAGTTTGAGAATGCAGTACAATGCGTGTACAGCACAGCTAACAAGAAATTTGTCTTTTCAACTACTCAGCCTAATTGTTGCACAGCAAAGTGCAGATGAGTTCTCCCTACCTCACCAGAACTCAAGTAAAGTGGCCTTGGCAAACCCTAGTATTCTTTCTTATTCTTTTTTCCATAATAAACATTTTCTTTAAGTCTTAAGTCAGATACTTCCAAGATCTATTTTCATAACTGACATCTCACACGTAAAAGCATTTTATGGAATGCAAAAATAAAATGTTAACAGAAACTGCATGCTTCCTGAAACAGTTACTGTCTTAGAAAAGGATTGCCTCGGTGTAGTTTCTGGTTTGGCCTCAAGAATGCAAGATCTGTCATTCTTATTAAAATTCCAAATATTAAAATGTCAATTGCTGCCCAACTTTCAAAGAACCGAGAACAGAGACAGAACTTTCAACACCAAACCAGACATAGCTTCAGGTGCTCTCAAACATGCCAGATCTGGGAACAAGACCTAATACAACTTAATAGAAGCACAACAAAAAGACATTCTAACACGTGAAAGGTGCTATGGGCTCTTGCCTACAGCTGTAAATTCTGATACAAAGTTAAGTGAAAAAAGTGATGGAAAAGTGAGAAAATACGATGTCACAGAAGTCTTCAAAAAAGAAACTGTGGTCCCTATTTTTGCAGTTCTGCATTCTCTAAGAAACACAAACAGGGAAAGTTACCTCAAAGCTTTGATCCTCTCAGTTCAGTCCTCACGGAAGAACTGTACTAAGCAAATTGCTCATAACATACAACACATTAAGGATGGAGAGGTTCATTTTAATGAATCAAGTCATCATTCCTACTATTGAAAAAGGTGGCAGTCCAGGTGATAGAGGTTCTAAAAAAAGGTTAAACTTTCCTCTACAGAGAGACAGATATTGCAGTTTCCACTCTTTATTTGCAGACAAGGCTATTCACAGAAAGCTGTACATACTCAGATCATAATAATTATTTTAAAGAGCCTAAAATCATAGCAGTGATAGTATACTTGAATTCAGTTTGCATGTCTATAAGGCTGTCAGTAATAGGCTTACAACCAAGCATGAACCATAGCTAGCTCTTTGCTAAGCAGTTTAGCAGCCAGGGCTGGGAGATGATTGTCTGCCTACAGCAGTAATTAGTAGGCCAGTTGCTAAGACAACCAGTTATTCAAGCTGGTAGCCTCATCCCAAATAAATCACCTGGCTTCTCACCAACACAAGACAGACTAAGAAGAGAAACACATCCTTGACAAACAGCTCAAAGGATCAGCTACTCTTCTGGTACAGAAACTGCTTCTTACCTTTGGTCATTCAAACTACTCCAATACCTCTCTATTTGTACCTCCCCTGAACCCAATGACCTACAGAGTTCTGTCAGAAGTTCCAGTGTAAGAATAATCAATAAGGTGACCTCAAGCCCCTTATTCTGAGCAGAGTTACATTCCTGTAGAATTGAGTGGTATGTGTGAATTATAATGTTTGAGCTTGCATGCATGTGTGAGTACACATGGCAGAGGGTCACCTGGGCACTCATGTACAGCTTGCAGAATAGCCACCTGAGCTTTTAAAAGCATTTGCAGGTGAAACAAGTAGTAGGTAGTAAGGAATCACCTGACTTATCAATACCGGTGTAGATTTTATTCTGGATCAGTGCAAATTTTCTTTAAAACAAACAAACAAACACAGCCAATACTAGTCCCTCCCTCACCCCCAAGCCTTTTCTCTCACAGACCACATGTTACCTTGGCTAATGCAGCAAGTCCAGAGGCAGGCTCTGGATGACCCATGTTTGACTTGGTTGATCCAATCAACAATGGCTCTCTCTCACATTGGCAGAAGACATCTGCAATGCCATTTACCTCCTGTGGATCTCCAACCTAGAAGGAAAGTAATCAGAATGGCTAGTAGCCAATACTTCCAAAACACACCACAAAAGAAAATGAAAGGTTAAGATATTTGGGTAAAATACAAAAGCAGTGAAGCAGTATATATTCCATAAACTGGTAGAAGACAGAAATACAATTCCTTTACCTTTATTTTGAAAGAACAAAGAATAATTTGGTTCCAAAGTGTGGCAAGTGGTGCAAGGGAAGAAAATACCCCAAAACCAAAGAGGTCATACTGACCTTGGTGCCTGTTCCATGAGTTTCAACATACTCAATGTCTCCAGGCTTGATACCACATTCTCTGTGCAGAGAACTGACCAACTGCCGCTGCATGTCTCCAGATGGGAATGTCACACCTAGAATCAAAATTGCCATCAATTTCTCTCTCTCAATAAATGCTTCCTGTTCCGCTTTGAGCACCCTTTCAACTGACTGGGGCTACCAGGACAAAAAGAAAGCTATTTTTTCAGGGTTTATACTTATGTCCTTTGTACCAAACACAGTAAGCCTATCAGGCTCTTAGAAATTAGAGCAGAGGAACCAGAAATGGAACTAAACCAATGATTAGAGTACTGTGGGAAGATACTGGTTAACACTATATGTATAGATCAAGCAAAACATATAAAACTTGGCATCTCCATGAGTGGGAAAAATAGTACAGGAGCAGGAAAAGAGATTTCCAGTAACAACATGTATGTTTCTACTATCTGTGCAAAAGTTACTCCAATATATATATAAAGTATATCCCAAGAAAGGCTAAACTAGCAACAGGACACTCCTGATACTCTGTATAATAACAATCTCCACTTGTCTCCTTTCATCCCTTTACAAAACAGGGGCCTGAACATTGCATTACCAAAGTTGAAAAATAAAAAAAAAAAAAAGCACAATGAAAAACCCTCACACACCTAAAGAACAGGAACCCTGCAATAATCTTTCTCTGATAACAAAGACTCTAGAATGAACTGTTCTGCAGGTATCTCACTTTTCAGAAGCTCAAGGCCCACCTTGCTCTTTAAAGCCATCAGTGTTACTCCCAGCATTAACTATTGTAGCATAGATGCGTTTAGCCATGGATTTCTTGGTCAAAAGAACGACGACAACAGCTTCAGAGCGACAATATCCATTTCCTGAGAATAGAGACAGAACAAGTCATTAATCTATTCTGCTTTGAATAAAGTAGCAAAAGCACCACACACTAAGGTTATTTCATTCCTGAGCTATTGCTTAAAACAGATTGCTTTGGAATACAATATGTACATTTGTTTAAAAAAGAATGTCCTAGAAAGGCTCACTGCTCATCACAAAGGATGAAAGAAAGTTTACATCAAGAGACAGTTATTTCCTTTCCCCACTGGCACAGAAACGAAGCATACAATTTATTTTCCACAGGTAATTTTCTAGGTCTAATGGAGCTATGCAACACAGACAAATTCCAGGGTATGTCCCAAGCAGCGCACCTAAGAACAAGGACAAGACCAGCTATGTCCACTGTTACCAGAGCATCACGTCACAGATTCAGCAATAAGTTCATCTTGTACAACAAGACAATTTTTCATGCTAATGCCTTACCTGAAGCATCGAAAGCTTTGCAGGCACCATCAGGACTAAGCATACCCAGCTTCATGAACTGCACAGAAGTGTGGGGCTTCAGCAGAAGGTTGACCCCTCCTACCACGGCTGCACTGCACTGTCCATTACGAATTGCCTTATAAGCATTTTCTAGAGCCATGAGACTGGAGGAGCAGGCTGTGTCAATAGTTAAGCTTGGTCCTTAGGGAACAGAAAGGGAAAACAAAACAAAACAAACAAAAAAAATTTTTTACTGTTAATTTTTCTCAAGTTACTCTCCAAAGACTATAGGATGGTTACCACAAAATGCATTTAAAAAATACAAACAGTTGCTTCAGGACATTACAGGCAATCCTGATACACTGGGAGACAAGAATCACCATCTCTGCCTGCTTGCCAGTAACAGGGGATGAGAAAGGAGGAAAAAAATTGCCAACAGTTAAGCTTTAAGGGTGCATTTTAAAATTTCACCTCCATCTCCATCAAAAAGTATCACAACCAGGTAACATCTCCCCATTTTCAACAATGGTATCACTCCCACTTCCTGGTGCTACCCTTACCATGGTCCCTGCTGTCTACTGCTCTTCAAGGCAATTCCCATCATGCCTTTAATCATACCAGTCCTGTACCACTCCTACTTCTTTCAGAGTTACCCGTTCCAATTAGTTTTTCTCCTGGCATCATTATCTTTCATACGAATGCCAGCTATGCCTATTTTCAACAACTGAAGTACAAAGCCTCCTAATGAGTCTTAACACAGAGTTACAACACGGCTTTTGCTTCTCACATGCCTCTTTACAACATCTGCATTCTACTTTCTCATCCCCAAAGAGTCAATACCTGATATCCACCCCACTTCTTTAGAGCAACCATGGTACAACTATGCTGAAATTACAATTACTGATCAGCACTGACAGGTCTGAGGACACTTACCTTTAAAATCAAAGAAGTAAGAAATCCTGTTGGCGAACATAGCACGCTGGCAGCCAGTCATACTGTATCCCAAAAGCTGTTCTGGATCTTGGCTAAAGGCTTCAGCAGCTTCTGACCCACTTGCACCAACCCATACACCCGTGTCTGTGCCACGAAGGGTAGCTGGATTAATGCCTATGGGAATATTGGAAAGCAGATTACAGCAAACGAACTCATTATGAGGGGAAAACTGGTAAGGTATCAGGTACAGATGGTACCAGTTCACGAAATACAATTTCTTAATGTCAATTTCTGGCAGACCTTCAGCCCACATAGTTACTTTTCTACCCGTTTCAATCACAGGCCTTCTGCAGAGCTCCTGTTTATTCGACCTGTTTATTACAACAGAGTCACAATCACGCCCTAAGACAGCTTTTTTGACTTAGATGGGTATTGATAGAGTCTTGTGTAGAAGTGTACAACTATTAAAGTTATAAATGCTGATCAGATAAGCTAACAGCAGATTTCCAATGCAGAGAAAAGAAGCAGACAAAGGGCTAAAAGTGCAACACATGGAATGTCATGTGAGCACTTGACTATCCATTCTTATGCAAAGCCTAGATCTGGAGTATGAGGAAGAAAAGAAAAAAATCTTTGGCACAAAAGCCAATAAGCTAGCACAAGAAACAACTCTCCTCCAAAAAACTGCATGGCAATCTCAACTTGTAACAATCTGCTGTTTCTTCTCTGTGCTGCAGGAGTCCTGAAGACAAGCAGACTATTAAGACTGAGGCTCAGCAATTGTTAATCTGTCAGAACTAGCGAGCTGGTTACAACTTTTTCCATGTGCTCCTTATGTTCAGACATGAAACTCATTAATATGAAGAATTATTTTTTTGGCTCTGTGGGCAAGTACCTAAAAAGCTCTCGACACTGGCAGTGATGGAGAAAGGAGGCTTCTCTTTCTGAAAGCACACTCCCTGGGCAAACTTCCTATGGTAGCAGCTCTAAGGTCACAAGTTTTCCTTGGATCTTGCCAATAAACAGGAATACAGCAGGTCATCTGTCATTCTTTTAGACCGTGGATGAGAATTCTCATGGAGTCATCTTCCCTTTGCACTACTATTATCCCCTGGGCCTTTAACAAAGGCATCTGTTATGGAACTTCACAGTAGAGCAGTAGTGTAGGGACACCAACATACAAAAGCTCTAGTACTGTTGACTGTTTAAATGTTTCCGTAGTATTGGTTCCACTGTATCAAACCAGTAGAGACTTTCTGGCAGTCAGTGTGTAGATTTCCTAGTTCAAGTTCCAGAACAAAGCAGTTTTCTCTAACCCTCATACCAGTTCTTCGGTCTCCTCTCTACTGTGAGCTTTCTTGTTAGTGATCTCATCACACAGGTGCATGTCTACACGTGCTGCACAAAAACGATACACCACAATTCTCCCTTTTCAGTCATTCACCTGCTTACCTCCATCCAAAATAGCTTCATAAGAAACTTCCAACAGCAAGCGAAGCTGAGGATCCATTGTATGAGCTTGTTTGGGGTGGACCCCAAAAAAGGAGGCATCAAACTTGCTTATGTCCTTGAGCTTTCCATTTCTCTTGGGCAGCCCATACATTCCTGAGAAGAAAAAATCAACACCGTATCACAGATTACATCAGTTTTGAAGCAGCTACTAGATGAGACAAAGTACAGAATGATCACAGCTGATTCTCGATTACAAGTGAAACCTTATTTTTCCCTTGCAGCATCCAGAGCGCTACACAAACACCTATCCACTCATCTCTCTAAATCTTATTTGGAAATTAAAACACCGCATTAACAAAAACAACTGTGATTTTTAAGACTGTTCTGGAAATGGCAGCAAAAGGCATCTATGTAGTTATAAGCATTTGTGCTTTGGAAAGTTGTGCCAAGCACACAGACTCTGAATTGTTGGTTCCAGTCAGAAGAAAAACAAAAACTACTTTTCACCTTTGCAATTCACTAGCCTGGATTGGATAGACATGGGCCAAAAATTTCAGAAGGATAATCAAACAGAAAAGAACATTCTAAAAAGCTACAAATCATGGGACTGGAGTCCCTCTGCTACTTCGGAACCCAGAAAAATGACAGAGCAGTTTTATTTCCACAGCTACCAGGATTCACAGTACTTAGCTGCTCTATCATTAAGTGTGCTTTTCCCTGGAAGATACATATTATTTGTTAGCTACTACTGTGCAGGACATGACTATAAAATGCATTACTTAAGACCTCTGTAGAAGTCTTCTGTTCCTGAATTTCTTGATGATGTATCAGAAGTGAATTCAAAAACTCTGATTTTGATCTGATAAACCTTTTCCTTTTGTAGGATAATTCCTCTGAAAAGCTCAGAGCTCCAAAAGGAGAGGCAATAAGCACTCACCTGGTTTCCACCTCCGATCATCCTCTGTGACCATATCAACTCCATTAAGTAGGTTCTCCCAAAACTCTTGCAAGTTCTCAGATTCTGGCAGCTTTCCTGCTATGCCTGCAATCACCACGTCCTCCATCTCCTAACTTCTCCCTGTTGCTGAGATCCAAGAAAGCAGTAAGACTAGTAAGGTTTCACACAGAGGAGAATATATGCATCTCTTGCCTTCTTGACATGTTGTGACAACTGTATTTGTATGAGAAACACCCACACAGAAAAAGCCCATGGAGTCTTTACTACAAAAAGATATCCCAACTAATCAAATAGACTGTAAGATTTGTGGGGACAATGGGGACGAGAAAACCGATGCTGAGGCAGTGCCAGGCTTTGAAAACCACCAGTTTCTATATGACAGCTAGAAAATGAACAGGTCTCTCTCCACCAAAGGCAATGCCTCTTTTTAAAGTCAGCAGAGAAGAAAGATTAACATGCTGGAGCAGAAGTGGGTGGAGAAATTATGAAATGTATATAGTAAAATACATAATTACAAGGCAAACCTTACAGGCAGCAAAACGAGTTCTACAATCATTCCAAAGTTAAATACTAACTTAAGAATCAATAATAAGTAAGCTTGTTGGAGGGAAAAAAAAAAAACAAAAAAAAAACAACCATGCACACACCCCAACACACACAGAAGAAAAAACATAGGAAGATGGCAATACAGTTTAGCATTATTATAAATACCCAAAATGAGAAGTAAATTTTACATATAAAGCATTTCTTAAAACACTGAACCTTGCACTGCAATACCTTAGAGGACTGGGAAAGAGCAATTGAGTACATGGGGTAGAGGGGGGTGCTTTAAAATAAGAGTTGACAGAACAGACAGATTTCAGATCAGGGAAAACCCTAGCTATTGACCCAAGAAATTTGCATTCTAAGACCCCAATCCCATACAACACAGCATGACAAGCCATCTATACAGATTGCAGCACCAAATGAGAGCTCATATTACACAGTCAACACACTCACATTATTTTGCATTACTCTGAAAATATATTAATGAAGCAGAAGGAAGGCAAGTTAACCTGATGTTGTTCCAGTTAAGTTCAAATTATAATTAGTAGACCCATACTGGGCAAGTTACAGGGAAAAAAAAAAAAAAAAAAGATACCCATTTATATAGACATGGTTGCATGAACAAAAGATATAATCAGCATTCACAGTACCTCCTTAAATAATACTTCTGGTAAGTAGAGGCAAAATATTCTCTAATGTGTGGGGTTTTTAACAAGTAAAAATCACAATAAAAATTAGTGTTTAAATAGATAAGTCTTCCTTTGAAGGAAAAACTTTGCAATGGAAGACCTAAAGCTTGACTTCCAGCACAGATTATGCTCCATTGTGCCATGTTGGCACTTCCCATAAGTACTGTTTGTGCTTGATCATCTCTCTTGTAAAATAGTATTAACAGATACTCTTAGATGAACACTTCCACAGATGATTTTTCAACCCAAGACATTTAACTTATGAACATATTTTACAGTCTCTTTAGAAATTCTTATAGTTTTTGAGCAATAGGCCTCTCTTCCATCCTCACATTGCTCTGGCATAATAACTTCACGTAACTTAGAGGTGACTGCATGGTGAGGCAGAAGGAAAGCAATGCCACCTGGTTTGCAAGGCTTTTACAGAGGTGTAGAGCAGCCGACACACACCACCACAGAGGTTGCCTGATCTCTTTTACTCCTCTTTCCTTCAGCAGTTATCTCCATTCAGATCTGTGGAGTAACCATGGAATTATGCAACGTGTAACACTCTGAGGTAGAAGAGATGATTACCTCATCCACTCCATCCTTTCTGGGAGCAAAACCAGAAGTGCTCCCAAAAGGACATTTTGGATTTCTCAGTCTTTAGTTAAATACTTCAGACAACAGAACTTCCATTCCACTCTCAGTATTCATTTAAGAAGGAACATGGTGAGGGCTTTACTGAGAAACTACACCCCAAAATTGAAGTCGGTAGTAATATGCCCAGTCTATTTTGCTCTAAAGAGAAGCTTCTCAGTTTTTCCACTCACAAAGGTCTAGCAAGTCAATTTTACTATTGGTGTCACCACTGTACCTGGAAAACCCATCAAGGACCGTAGCTCTGCTACACTTGCAGCAGTTCTGTGCTGGGGGCAGAGAAATAACTGGATCTTAGGCATGGAGCTTACAATCCAAGCACACAAGAGCCATGCAAAATTATAATGTGATTAATTTTCAATTTTATGCCTCAGCTCTTTGGGTGATGATATGCAAGGAAATAAATATTGTTTGTATTTCAGGAGACTGAAACTGCTCTTCTGGGATTGTCCCTTCCCTTTCACTGGAGTATCAGGAAAACTCCATCCAGGTATGGCCAACCTTGACAAAATGTTATTCTGAGACAGTGAAGAAATGGTATTTATCAGCAAAGCAATTTTTGCCAACAAGTTATGACTGCAGTTGAGCAAGACTGTGTCAAAGGCAGAAAGACACTGTGGTAATCAAAATGTACAAGAACAAAAGCCAAGAAGTTAATTTTAGCTGGGTAAATGGGTAATAAGAGCCACAACTTAAGGATTTATATACACAAAGAACTGGAAAGGTTTAGGCTTGACATGAAGGGCTCTGGATGCCTATATCAAAAATAACGAATTATGGACCTAGTGGCAGACAGTACAGGTGATTTACTAGGGAAAAGAAGAGTTGGAAAAGTAGAAATCATTAATATTAAGTACTCTAATTAAACAGTGATTAAAGTAAACATTACAGCTACCAACGATATCTTTGGTCTTCATTGACAGCTAATATACAGGTAGGCTATTTCAAAGTTTATGGATGTTGTCCCCAAATGGTACAGTATAGTATGTTAGTATACTACAGACTCACTCTTCTTTGTAGAGCACTTTTAGACTATACACAGTACATTGACAGTTTTTGAAGTGTATGACATGGCACCAGGAAAGAAAATTATTTCCACAGCAATTTTAAAGGAGATTGGAGTACAGCAAATAAATGTAAGAAATTGTTCCAATTATATCTGATGGGCAAGATGGACAAATGTAACAGGTCAAAAAAAGAGACCAAAAAAAGATAAAGAATGCCAATTTCTTAAGGCTGTGTTTTGTTGGATACAACCAAACATATAACATTCTTTTTCCTCTCTTTGCCTGATGGCTTTGTTTTAATAGAATTATGTAGATTCTTCATAGACAGATTGACTTTTTACCCAGGCAGGGGAAAGAAGACAAAAGAATAACCAAAAGACACCAAAACCCTCAACATACCAGTCTGATAGACACCTCATTAAGCATGAACTACTACCTCAATGGATTTACACAATATTTTTTTGCAATGATATTCCTTTGCTGACTCACTGAGACTAGTAATAACTAACAATCCCTTCTGGTGTTATTGACTAGTAATCACTTTCATAATTTTATACTTGTGTTCTGGTTATCTACCTCCCACATTAGCCACTTGACAAGGTTGGTTTGTTTATTGATGTCAGCTCTTTTCTCCAATCATCTTAACGCCTTCATAACCTTGCTCTCTATGTATTGGATACCTACTGATATCATCACAGCCTACTGCTATTAACAAACTTGTAAGCTTAACTACTGCTCTCCAATGCATTTAACAAAAGATGATTTTCAGTGCCCCGCTCATCTAGTGCCAATAATGGATCAAGAAGAAAAATGTTGATCACTGTTTTTTAATCAACCACATGAGCTGTACAACTTTGTTTTCTCTGTGCCTACTGAGATTATATGCTTTTAAAGCAGGAATTAAAGAGGAACTTAATTTTGTTGTCCCACTCATATCTGACTTGCCAACCCCCAAAGAGAATAGTTTTCTTATTCTGCTGTACCTATGACCACCTAAAGTATATTTATAATACAAATGGGGGCTGGGAGCAAAGAATAAAGTGCAAAGAAACAGCAGGGGAAAAAAAAAAAAAAAGAAACAACCAAACCAAACCCTGTTCTGCCTGGTGTTGTTCTCTTTACTAGACAGGAACGTATCACTTGTATTTATTAACTGTTATTTTGATGGCTGTCATCATGGTAGGTACCATGGACAGACTCCTCATACTCAAGTCTCTATTACTAGTTCTACGCAGTCCAAATCTTGATCTGTTTTGGAGCTCCCCTCACCTTAAAATGAAACATCCATGACACCTCTATAGCCTTCTTCAGGACAGATATTGACAAAGGGTATGTTTTCTTAGCTTGTAAATCTGACTACATCATAACCCATGTTTCTTAATCTCTGATTATCATTTCTAAAATTTACACTTCAAACTGCCATCCCATAGAAACTTCATTTGCAGAGAGCTATAATGTCTGCTTCAAAAAAATTCTCTACAAAATAGAAGCAAACAGAGGCTGCTTTTCATTTTTGAAAGCACTTGGCTACTCTCAGTCTATGCACTATAGCTCCAGTTTAACAAAGACCTTTTAACTATGTCTTTCTGTCTCAAGGCTGGATCTGTCCCACTGACCACAAGACAAATGGAAAGCGGTAGTGGGGTTTTGTATTTAAAAACATATTTCTTGGCAGGAAACACTATCTGGTTCAGAGTTAGGTGGGAAAGGTAGGTTAGATTACTCATGGAATTAACACAGCTCTGTTGATTTCCAAATGATTTATACCAACTAATGCCCCCAGTATCACTATATCTTAAAAAAAAAAATCTGTTCATAACTGCCCTCCCTGTAGGGACTTTGTCTTCTAAATTCATCCACTAAATGCAGCCTTTCAAGTTGCACTGTTATTTTCAGTTCATTTCAAGAAGCATACAAGCTGCAGGAAAAGGTGAATCCTTTGTTCAAGGGAGTTTTTTGATTTTTACTTTTGATTTTAAAGTCAAGACATGCTCCAAAGCCCCTGACGCTGCTTTCTGAAGGACTATGCAAGCTAATGTAAACTGCTTTAACACAGCCTGTTTCAATTTAATGAAGTTTTAATAATTTAAATAAGCTTTAATAATTAAAGCTTTAATAATTTTGATCTTGTAATATAATAAAGCCATAATAAAGCTTTTAGCTAGGAAAAAAGGGGTTTTGTACCTTCAAGAACCTTATGCCAGACAAGAACGTAGAAAGAAAACCAATAGGAGCAAGAACAGCAGAAGAGAAGACCACGATTGTTTTCCTGACAATCACATCATCCAAACCAGACTGGTGTACAATGAATGAGTTATTACACGCGAGCAGCCGGTTTACATAGAAGCAGAGGCTTAGCAGCATGTGCTGCACCTTTTTTGAGAACGTTTCCCCGTACGTATCAACAAGCCACCTTTAGGGCGTGCAAACGCTAATCTCTTCACTCCCAAGGTTCCTCAGCTTGCTACACTCGTGCTGTTAGGCCAACTCGGAACATCGCGGGTGACGGAGGAGCCGCCATCCTTCTGCCAGGACGGAGCAGTCCGTTTAGCCCCGGCGGCCCGCCCGAGACGGCCCGATGTGCCCGGCCGCTCGATCCTCGCACGATCTGGGCCGCCGCTGCCGCCCAGCCCCGCGGCGGGCGCCGGGCGCGGCCCCTCGGAACCCGCTGAGCCGCCCCGCGGAGCCCTGCCGCCACGGCTGGGGCGCGGACGCGCCGATGCTCGGGGGAACGCAGAAAGGCTCCTGCCGACGGGCACCCGAAGGCTGCAGGCGGCGGTGCCCCTGCCCGTGCACCGGCCCGCGCCACGCGCGGCCCTGCACCCACAGAGCCTGCCCGTGCCGGCTCGGCGGCGAGGGGTCCCCGCCCGCCGCCAAGATGGCCGAGCGCCGGCACCACAATGCAGCGCTGCAGCCTCTCTCCGCTCCGCCTCGCCAGCGGGAGGATGCGGATCGCTAGCCCCCCACCGACTGGCGAGGAGTCTCCTCAGAGCGACCGCGTTGGGCCCTGGGAGAGAGGCCTGCGGCGGGTACGGGCAGCACGAGCATCTAGGCGCGGCGGGTAGGGCGCCGGCGCACGGAACCTTCTCGTCGCGCGGGCCGAGCCCGCGGGCCCCAGCCATCAGAAGCGGCCATCCGACTCCGCGCGGCGCAGGGGACCGGGCGGAACGATCCCGGTGCGGCTGCCTGGCGCAGTAGCCCGCGGAGGCGGGAGCGGAGGCCGCCGCTCTCCCAGCCGTTCCGCATCCGCTGTGCCACCGGTACCTGCACAGGTGCAGAAAGCTTCGTGCCGAGAGGACCCTGTAGTCAGCTCAGCGCCGGACCGGGCTGCTGCGGGGCAGGCTCTTCAGGCGGACTCGGGCGCTGCGGCGGCCGGTGCCGGGCTGCGTACCTCCGATGCTCCGCGCTCTCCTCACTGTCTCCCTCTAGCTCCCACCGCTATTTAAGCAGCCGCCACCTCTGGCGGCCACGCCACATGGGCTGACAGTTTACTCCTCGCCGCAGTCCAATGAGAGCTGGGGCAGGGCCGCCCTGAGCCGGCCCCGGGGCTGATGCCAACCCCTGCCCGCCAGAGCCGTTCCACAGGAGGAGGGGGTCCTGGGCAGGCCGGGGCGGAGCCGGTCGGGCCCCCGTGCCCGCGGCACTGGGCCAAGCTCCTGCGCCCCGCCCTGGAGACCGTGGAAGGCCGGGCTCTGCGAGCGGCGCCTGGCCTTGCCCGAGCCTATCGCAGCGACCGCCGGCCCAGGCCTCTCTGTGTCCCTGTCCCCCCTTCCCGCGGATGTGCACACTGTGGTTGGGTGTACTACTGCGCCAGCAGCTCGGCAGGACGCGCTGAAGCCGGGCGGGCGCCGGGCCACGGATCGCCCGCGCACCCGACAGCGCACAAAGAGAAGGGGCGCGCGGCTGGACGCGCAGTCCCGGGCCGGCACCCAATCCGGAGGCGGGGGCGTGTGGGCGGGGGCGCGGCCCTGCCAATGGCGTGCCCCGTAGGGGTGTTGCTAGGCGATAAGGCGATGTGGTGACTGTTGAGGGGACGGCCGAGGCCGCCGGCGTCGCGAGCAGCACCCGCCACACGCCGGCGGCAGCGGTCGTTCACCCCGGCGGAGCGCGGTCCCGGGGTTACCAGAGGGCGGCGGGCACGCCGGCCAGGGATGCGCTGGCCCGTGCCCGGTCCAAGGTGGTGGTGGGGGGGGGGGGGGGGGGCTACCCACAGGCGCCGAAAACCCGCTCCCCTCGTGCGCCAGAAGCCAGTCAGTGGTTCACCTACCTTTCCAAAAATGCAAAAGGGGAAAGTTGGCTCTGTGTGCAGCCACCTTTTGTCCACTTCCTCCATAACTTGTACTGCTTCAATTGCAGCAGTAAAAAAAAAATAGGATGTTGTTCTGTATCACCTACAACACAAAAAGGCCGTTCTGCTTTTTGGTCGGCAACTACGGGCCCAAAGGCTAAAATGCAGGAAGCATCCCCCTTCTCTCTGCGTGTAGAGAATGTTTCAGTCAGAAGTCCTGTTTCTGTTCACGCTTTCCACTGCTGTCACCACTTAAATAGAGCTGGACTACAACCTTCTGTCAGCAGAACTTTTGCCTTTATCCACACCTTCCTCAATACGATACAGTTTTTCAACCCTTTGATAACAATGAGAAATTTGCTCAGAGTTTTATTTTTTCAGAACTCTGATCTGCTGAATTTATTTTTTATAGGTTCTCCTTTCTTTGTACAATTCAATTGCATCCACACTACTACCTCATCACCCTTCGTTCTCATCTGTTTTTAAGAATTAATGTCCAGTTAGTTAAATATTTTGGTCATAGTAAAAAGTAATAAGAATTCTCGTCCTCTATTTAGGACACAGTTCAACCTCCCCACAAGATCCAAGCAATAAGTCCATGTTATTTGTTATTATTCGTGTTTTGTAAATTTTCAGCATACTTACATGCCACATTCTTCTAAAAATGTATAATGATTGAACTCTTCCTTTTTTTTTTTTTTTTTTTTTTCCCCCCCTATCACAAGGAAAAAGATTTTAAAAAAATCAAGAGAAAAATCTGTTTCTCAGGGAAACTGAATAAATTAAATTTGCCTTCTTGGCAAGTGATCTGCAGGACCAGGCATGCCAGGTGACATACTGGGGAAGAAAAACAGCACTGTAAAAGAAACAAACAACAAAAACCCCACAAATAAATATCCACAAAGAAAACTGCAAAGGCATTTCCGAAGTCTGCAGCCCATGAGATTATCTCAACAATGTAGGAAATAAAGAGTAATGTTTTCCAGTCTCAGATGCAGCGTTACAAAGATTATGAATCAAACTACTTTTTTTTTTCCCCCCTAATGGCACACTGCTTTTAATGCCAATTGCAAATGCACAGAATTTCATAGCATTAAAATATTTGCATCTCCACATTTCAATTAAAAATATGAAATTTGAAATAAAGTAATAATTCACAGGATAACTTGCAGCTATTAAAAACTGAAATTTACACATTGTGCTCTAGAAATAACCAATGAGAGCTGTAACTGTGGTGTGATCTGAGCCAAAATTCCTGTACTTGTTAGAAATCACTGCTTTGAGCTACAAAAAGAGCTTATTCAGGGCCTGGTTCAAGGGAATGCATCATGTTTTTCCAGCTCACGAACAATGTTAAATATTGAATCCAATGACAGGATTTTCAAGCAATTAAATGGCTCAGAAAAAAAGCTCACAAGGTCTCTCAGGCCTCATATTGGCTTGGTAACATCCCAGTGAAATTTAATTGCAGATTTAGCATTTAACTTTAATATCATAGCACCTTTGTTCTAAAGCAAAATATTATCAACAGGAAGTAGAAAAACAATTACTCAAGATGTTCTCAAAGTGGTTACTAACATATTGTCAGATGCCAAAGAGAGAGTCTGTTTGCAAACAGTACCAGGAAAGCAGCACTTAAAAAAATACTACAAAAGAGATTAAAAAAGGGAGGGGGGGGGGGCGGGGGCCACTTACAGGTAGTAGCTCTCTTCCTTCATTAATCCTGTTCAGACTTCACTTTTTTTTTTTTTTTTTTTTTTTTTTTTTTTTTTTTTTTTACCAGCAACTGAGAAGTATTATTTACTTCAACAACACCACTCACAGAATCACAGAGTTTGGAAGGGACCTCTTGTGATGACCAGTTCCTGTCCCCCTACTCAAGTAGGGTCATCTGGAACAGATTGCCCAGGACCACATCCAGTTTGGATTTGAGTATCTCCATGGATGGAGACTCCATAACCTCCTCTCTGGCCAATCTGTTCCAGTACGTGGCCACTCTTTGAGTACAAAATGAGTTTTTGTTGTTGTTGTTGTGTTTTGTTTTCTAAACATCCCGGAATGTTCATTACTACATAGATATCCCTCATTACATCACAACCCACTCAAGTTTTCTTTTAGTTTCACCTGTTGTAAGACTTATTTCTTACAATACTTCTGCAAAATTCTAAGAGTTTTTCATTGCTTTACACTTTAGGTAGTTTAACAAAAATATTATTAGTAGCGTGATGATAGAAGTTCAATTTTATACTCTCTCGTGCTCCCTGAACAAGTGGAAAGAACTGTAGAAGATGACAAACAATATAGATTAATGTGTGATCTTTTCAAAACCCTTTCTTTCAAGTTGAAAGATAGCTGCACGGGATTAACGGTTGCATTGTTAATTATAAGAAAACAAGTGGGTTGACACATCCCACTTCTAAGTTTAAATCGCATCTACAGTTTCTCAACAAAATATTTGCTAAAGACCTGCAAGCCCTGCCTAGCGGCACAAAGATTTACATATGTATTAACTGGGCATTTCTAAATCCATGATGCAAGCGATATTTAACATATAATTAAAATAAATGCGTATTAACACTGAAGACTGTAATCTCACCATGTACACAGATTAACCCTTTCTCAAGAAACTGGGAACAGTATTTCTTTTCTGGCCTCAAACATCCCAATTTGACATATAAAAACGAACATCAAAGTAATATTTAGATCTAATTTATATTCTTTTAATGTAAATTAATAGCAAGCATGGACTGAAACTTGCTGCCAACAGAGAAATCAGTCTTTAATATTATAGTTGCGGATTTTTGACATGTTAGAAGAGATTTTTTGTTTTATGGGATAAGTACAAGATAAAATCCTGGATTTTAACTTCTGCTGAACTTCCAGCTTGGTGCCTCTGACCGTCAAATCTGCAGCTGGCATTTCAAGTTTATCCTTGGCTTTGATATTTTGCTGAGATTCTTCAGATTGCTCACTTGAACATGTAACTTCAAATTCCAACGCTCAAATAAGTAAATAAATAGATAATAAATAAATAAAACATTGTGCTTATGTTTACATTTAATCAAAGACTGGAGAACTGAAAAGAACTGGTTTACACTTTTCCTTTAAACACACAGCTGCCACAGTGGCACATTGTCAAAATCTTACATCAGGCTAGAAAGCCATTTTTATAGTAGCTAACATAGGGGACACGGAACTGTCTATTAAGGCCTGCCATATGGATGGTATATGTCAGCATCTCCTGCTCAATCCTTGCTTATCTGTACCTGTTTAGTTTTCATAAGCATCAGACTACTTGACAGAGAAGAAAGGAAGACAGTTGGAAGATCCATGAAACCGTTCAATTCAAGCACTATCTGTTCAGCTGTTTTTAAACATCACATTTTACAAGCTTATTCTTCTCTCCACTGTGAGAGAACACACAGTACCTGCACACTGAATAACACAATACAAAGTTAGACTTACCTATTCCCATATTGTGAAATGGTGTTAAAGTAGTTGGCTGCAATAGTTTGATCTCTTTCAAGAAACCACCAGGAGATGAGAGCTGTGTTAGGAGAAGCATGATCTAAAAGGCTCAAGAGCAGTTCTGTGGGCTTGACAAAGCTGCATTACTACCACAATCATGTGGGTTTGTTTGCCCCCACCCTTTTTTTTTTTTTTTAATTCTCTCAATCTTTTTCACACAGGAAGGCATTCGCTGGGGAAATCCTTGTTTTCTTTGTCTAAAATATTTCTGTGTAGTAGAGTGGGCTAACTCAAAAAGTACTTTCTTTGCTTGGGAAACAGGAAGATTGGTCTTAATACCAATGGAAGTCTGTTCTCCAGTCTCTCATAATTGTCTGAAAACAACTATCTCCAACTAAATCAACTGCAGCCTTATCACAGGTTTCATTAGGTAAGATAAGTGGAATTGGTCAGTCACAGTAGTCATTGTAAGGTATAAGCAATGCTTACAGGTGCTAGGCTCCAGCCACTTAATCCTTATTTTTCAGTGCACTGAGATTTTAACTTCAGATTTTCTAAACAGAGCCAAAAGCAGACAGCAGAAGTAGGCATAATGTACTTGTGATAATACACAATACAGCATTCTGTAGTTGAATTTTTTCAAGCTTGCCAGGCTTCAGTGCTAAGTACTATCCAA